GATATGCACTTTTTACCTTTTGGCTTTTCGCTTCAAGGTACATTCCTTTTTCCCTAGTTAGTGTGATCAGCTATGAGAAATATATCCCTTTACACAACCTCCTCTCATTCACCCAATAAATACATTTCTAGTAATTAGGATGATGTTAAAACCATTGTACACGGTTTGATCGTACATACCTAGTACGCCACGTCTCATCCCGACCCGTTGTCAAACTAAACCCAACGTTGTGAAAGAACATTCGGTCGATTCTACCGAGTCGTACACTTTGTTTGCTTATCACAAAGATCGAGCCAAAAGGCTGAGTTTGTGTTGCTGCGGATGCTTCGGCGGGTACGTCTTCAATAGACCCTTGCATCTCCAACTTTCCCAATACCAGTACTGCAGGTGGAAGAAACGCCTTATTGGCAGGGCTATTGGTTGGATGCAATTCGAAATCTATTCAAGGATTCCACGCCGTCAGACTACTGGGGTCATCAATTTGGGTCGTGTGCGAGCAAGCAAGTAAACCCAGCCACCATTTCCCCAAAGAATTATTTTCAACCAATAGAAGAATGCGTCAGAGCTATCCAATTTTTGGGAAAGGAAAGCGAATGTTTTGGAGAGAAACGAGGTCAAATTTCGGAGGTTTGTTTAAACAACGCCAGTTGCCAACAACTACCAGCATCATCAACATCGTCATTTCAAAGATTTCTAGAAACGTCAACAAAAAAGTCAAATCGAGTTCAACAGGCCATGCTGAGAAGGGTTTCATATCCACTTAAATAATCACGCTTTCTCCATTCCCACGTTTCCCCGAACAGTCCTCATTCTACCCGGTACCCATCCCATCCCATCTTATCCCATGCTTCTCATTCCCCTTCCGCCCCCTCCCTGAACTCTTTTTATGATCCGAGTTCTTACTACCCACCAGACCACCTACATTTAAAATACAAGACCCATGAGGATTGGTCGCCGCCTGAAGGAAGTGAATTTTTATTCCTAGGAAAATTCCTAGTTGACATATATGTAACTTGGCTTAGAACTGCGTGTATCGCAACATCGCCTTATCGATATTGTTGTATTCAAAGCCGAGAGTTGTTAAACATATTACCCACAATCCAAAGGACAGCAGCACAATTGAAAAAAAACACAACAGATGTTAGCAACTTACGAAATCCGAGGCAATAGATCTAAGTAGAACGAATCCTATCATCATACAGTTGAAAATAGAACAATTTCGATGGTTGTATGTTTTGCGCTTGCGACAACTTGATGACAATAGCAATACAAAACACCACACAACACAACAAAACAATCCCTTACGAACGAGGAGGACGATTGTGCATCGCAATTTGGCCTCTAGGTTTTTAGTTTCGAGACTTTGGACTTATCTCTTGGGATGGAATATTACATTTTATAATCCGTTTCTTTTGAAATTTTGTATGGAATAGGAGGAATAAATCCGAGGTTTCATTGCTTACCTCGAGACGGAGGCTTCGCTGACAGGACGGCAAGGCAAGGCAAGACAAGGCAAGGCAAGGCAAGGCAAGAAGAAGGTTGAAGCAGTGTCGCGGCATCGGAATCGGAATTGGTAGCTCTAGTCGGCAAAGCGCGTGGAGAGTAATCATTTCAATTCGATCGAAGCAAGGAGGAAGCTAAAAGGAAGAGGAAAGGAAGAGAAAAGGAAGTACCTAGTCAAGGCTCATTGGATATTCTGTCGTCTGTAAGAACACCTTTTGATACCCACTTTGGGACTCTCTCTTTGATTTCCATCTTCATCACCATTCTTACCATTCATTACTCATCAAACTCTTTTACTTTTTACCACTCTGCTTAGATCTCTTTTTCGTTATCAAAGTTTTCTATGCTACACTTATTCGCCGTTGTACACCTCCAGCGACCATTCTTCTCATCTACCTCTTAACTCCATTACCCTTTCAAGGACGGTGGTCATTGTTCCCGTACTACTTCACTCGCTCACGTCACTCTTCGACAATGGTCCTGGGCGTTTCTTCTAGTTCCAGTTCCAAAGATAGTCAAACTGCATCGGTGCTCTGAGATTTGAAATTATTAGTAATTTGTCAAATCCAGAATACGCTACCTCCCAGACTAGAGCTGCCTCATTCACGCTTGACCTCCTTTTTCTTTTCCTTGGTCATTACATCACCATATTGAATAAGCTAGAGTTTTTTCCTTGGGAGTCAGGCTATCTAGTCGTCCAATTCAAACCACACCCGAGACAATTCCATTCTCTTCCAAGTCATAACACAGATCACATTTTGAGGGAGGGATTGGCTCATCCACTTTGTCGCATAGTAATTCAATCCATCGCATGAAAAACTCCAAAAGAATTTGAACTCTCGCAACCACCTGTCGAACGCGGAAACCAAGGGCTCGCACCGTATACGTCTTCCTGCACGCAATACGAAGTTCACATGAAACTTGTGCTGTTGACTATAGTTCTAGAGTATATTCAAAAGTGCATACTAGGCAGATATTGGTTCACGATACTGCCAGACGATCATCGGCATTGAATTCCAAAGTGCGAAGTACCAACTTTACAGTCCTCTTAGACTCGGGATTTATTACATCTGAGAGTTTTCCAATCGCTATTCCGATATAATTTTCAATTTAAACGAATTCCGCAAGCTATTTCCAAGAAATCGGTATCTCAGATTGAATTTCAAGAATATTGGCAATATCTTGAGGCTCAAGCGAAGTCCAGAGTCATTCCTTGGCCAAAAAACGGACTGCCCCTAGCTACTTAGGTAGCTTAACCACGTCTATCCTTCTGACCCAATCAGTAACGCAGCGCCATCCCAACAGGTTGCGGAGGCTTAATACGCCCAATCAGAGAATTCAATCAACCAATAGAGTCACCCTCGCCATTTAGCGTTTTATGTAGATGCCGTGGATTTCTTAGGCGACCTCTTCCACCAGCTTGAAGATATAGACATATTCGAAGGGCAACGCCGGTAGAAACTAGCCTAAATACGAGGGCTATCTTGTTATAGTGTCCTATTGATCAGAACGTTTTCAAGACGGGGAGTGCAGCTTGAGAGAAAAAAAATCATTCGTCACGATAAAATTGTCGGCGGGCCATTCTTCGCAACTCTAAGAAAGACCCAGCCACAACAAGTACTGTTAGTCGATTTCAACTATTATCTCACGGAAGAGTTCAAGGTGGCTATTGCGGCCTCTATCGACCATTTTCGTGCCAAGATTGCAGTTGTGGTCTACAATCATTTTAAGTGAGAGACATCATTGTGCACCCAGCATTTGTCGAGGGAGGGCGATACTCTTTGGATCGACAGCATCAACATACTCACTGTGTCGCTTGAGTTCGTTTTAAAAACCCTCTGTCGCTATTACTAACTGTTCAGAATCCACCAGTTGGAATATAAGATTACTTGGATGCGCTCTTAGCGAGACAAGTTCAGTCATCGTCACTAGAAAAGTATAACGCCAACAATTTCCAACAAACATTGAGAACGGCGCCAATATCGACAATCTCCAAATCTCGATCCGAACACCACACAATATCATAATATTGATTCAATTCTTACGTACCGACATACTTTACCTACCTATCTATCGACGTACTATCAATTACCTAGTCACCAATCCGAATTTCGGCATCATCTTATTGTCTATCCACCGACGATCATCAATTATTTCTCTTCCTCTTTCTTCTCCGTTGGGACATTCCGTGACACAGCTGCACCGTCCTAGAATTGATCCAAATCTCAATTTGTTACAAATCCATCATCTTCGAATCATCAAAGTCGTCGATGTTCCACGATTTCTCCATATATATCATTACTATTTTGACACCTGGGTATAACGATAAAGTGTTCATATTCCAACTTACGGAAAGGGCAAGACACACTAAAGGCGGACACTTTCTATGCTTGATTTTTTTGACAGAAGGACACGAGTACCCAAGAGTGGTTGAAGAAAGTGGAAATCACCCGGAACGAATCATACCCTCGTGCCCGTCTCTCTTTCTTTGCCCCTCTAACCCAGGCATTCCATTCTGCAGGGAAAGGGAGTTTTGAGATCCCAGTTCCATCACAACGGTCAAGCCAATTTAAAGGACGAACGATTTCCAATCAACCCTACGCAAGTTTTGAGTTCTTAAATACCTGTTTGGGACTAGCAGATCTTCTACCTCTATTGCTATTGGCGTGTTTCGAGAAACTTTGGCTACTAGCTTGGAGATTGAGAGTTACTACCCAATTCAGTTTAACACCACACACACACACTCTCTCTCTCTCTCTTACACACGACTTAGTTACTGGGCTCACCTCACTTATTAGCTAGTACTTGACTTGGTCAATTCGGAGAATAAAGTATTCGGACAAACTTTATACACAATACGTTTTCTGGGTATCAATTCGATACTAAGTGGGGAATTGATTCTTTCGGTACTAGTCATCTTTTGCTAGTGAGAAAGTCAATCGTCTTTCAGTCTTTCGGGTCGTTCATCCACCAACTCTACTTCCCACATCCTACTTGCCAAGCATCGGGAACCTTTACCCTGGGGACTTTAAAGAGAACCAGCTTCCCCTCATTCCTCCACTTTCGACCACAACATATTTTTCACTTCTCTTCTTCCCTCCCCTTTATCGATAGAATCTTAATTCCTTCAATTCTTCACATCCAAGCAACTATTTGCAGCTGGGCTGTCGCAAAATATAGATTACATTCTTAACAATTCGGTTGGCATACAACTCACAACTCACAACTCACAAATCATAACTCACAACTCACAACTCAAACTCACAACACACATAGCCTGACATTGCTTGTGCTCCAAATGTCGTCCTCTTTTCCTCAACGCATCAGACCTGCACCAAAGCACCAACAGGTCTCTCGAGAAGAGGATCCAAATCATCATCAGACTGTTCAACCTTCACCAGCAGCGAGGACAATTGATCGTTCACTTCGTTACCCAGGTTTGTCAGAACAAGATGCTCTGAATCGCCTCGACGCTCCCACAAATACGACAGCTTCATATGCACCAGGCAAAGCACTTCGTCAAGTTTGAGCGCGATTCTCAACACTGCATCCCCATTACCGCCTTTCCCTACCATGGACCGCAAGACGATCGACTTATGGGAAACACCAGGAATCATTCTCCCCCTCCAGCTGGAAAAGACACTGGGGTAACGCATTACACCAAACAAGCGGCGCGAATCCATTCATCTCTTCCAGCTGGACGAGACGCTTCGGGAGCACACACACCAACAAGCGCTGGACCAGATCATTCTTCCCGTTCAACGGCTTGGGAAAATACACTAGAATACGCAATAGAAAATAGATTTCCGTGGCCTAGCTATCACCCTCAAAGTGTTTCAGATAAGTCCATGTCTGAACGTGCACTGCCAGGTGGCAGATCAGATTATCCCTCCCGCCCAGCGGATTCAGAAAACCACCGAGCATATGCATCAAATAATGAATCGCAATATCCTCACAATGCTACCCAAGGTGTTTCTGAGAACCGCACATCGCACGATGCAAACCGTGCCCATCAAGGTGTCCCAGATGATCGCGTGTCACGTCGCACAAGCTATACTTCCCAAGATGGTCCAGACAATCGCACCCCGCACCACCCAAACCCCCAATTCCCTGCAGTCGGACCACCTGGCCCGTACAGTGTAGCACAACCTTGGGACTCGAGCACTCGTGCATCTGCATACCAAGAACCCTATCGTCCCTATTCAAACAATGGACCACATTATTCTGGACAGTATCAGGAGCCTGTTCAAGATGGCAGATCCATGCCGGCAGGATACGATGCACCTCCTCACCATTCTTTCCCTGATGGTGCAGGCTACTCGCAACCTCCTCCTCCTCCTACATATCGTCACCATTCTTATCAGGATAGTAAAGACTACCCACAACAGCAACCCCCTCCTTTAACTCGCCACCATTCTTTTAATGATGAGAGAGGCTATCCGCAACGGCAACCCCCTCCTGCGCCTGCTCATCATTCTTATCAAGATATCAGAAGCTATCCACAACAGCAACACCCTGCTGCACCTTCTCATCACTCTTATCAAGATGGCAGAGGCTACTCGCAACAGCAAACCCCTCATCCACCTCACTATCCTTATCATGACGGTAGAGGCTATTCGCAAGATCAACCCCCTCATCCATCTCACTATCCTTATCATGACGGTAGAGGCTATCCGCAAGATCAACCTCCTGCTGCACAACCGCCTCTAAGACAGAGTGCTCCTAGGCAAAGAACCGCAATCGCATGCAAATATTGCAGAAGACGCAAGGTATGATCAGGGTCTTCCTTCTAAACAGTTCAATCTGAGATGTCATAAATTACTAGAAAAATAATCAAAACAATGCTGACGTCATGAATAGATTCGTTGCTCAGGTTTTACTGCTGATGGCTCCGGAGGTCAATGTACTAATTGTGCCCGCTTCAAACAGGAATGTGTTTTCACTCCTGTATCCTCAGCACAGGCATTTGTACCTCTTATTGCCCTGACTGAAGCGCTTAATGGCAGAGATACGCATCCGGGTGTTTATGGTGCTTACGGCCAACCACTACCAGGTGACCCCGCGAATCAAAACCGTACAGAACCGTACCAAGGATATCATCCACAGCAAGCCGCGCCCAGGCCACCAATGGCACACTGTCATCAACAAATGCCACAGCAGGTCGCCCAATATGCGCCCCAACATGTGCAACAGCCAATTCCCCAAACATATCTCCCACCTATGAACAGATCGCCCCATGATCGGGATACCTTGCCTTCTCCGACAGGCTCAATACCCCAACAAGCACCTCAAACACATCTCCCTTCTTTTTCGAACAGATCACCATATGATCAGGGTGCTACTTTACCCTCTCCGACAGGCTCATTGGATTCTCAAAAGCGTAAGCGCGAGGCAGATGAGCGCCACTTTGCTAGAGCGGCGCCATCTGCCCCTAGTCAATTCTCTGGATACGACCGAGACAGCAATGCTCCGTACCGCATACCAGGTCTTCAGGAACAATATCAGTATCGTCCCTCCGTTCCATCCCCTCCTACTCGCCAATATGGATATCAACAAGGAGAGAATGTTACGGCCCGCCTGCCAGCATTGCAAGATGGACAACAATATCGTTCATCAGTTCCATCACCTCCTTCCAATCAACAATATGGACATCATCAAGGAGAGAATGCTCTAGCATACCGACCTATGGAAGATGGCCGACAGTCCACCCAATGGGCCTCGGTAAACTCGAATGAAGCACCACGAAATGACCCCTCTCCCAATGGTTCATCGTCATCGTTTCATTCCCAGAATGCAGGCGGCAATCACCAACCTAGTCAGGTATCTCCTCATCGAGCCGAGTCTTCTCAGTTTCCTCTAGCATCCCCTGCTAGAGAAACTGAACGTCCTAACCAGATGAACATCGCAAACATTGTGGAACGCGATGACAACGATGTTGACCGAAATATGCTCAGACGTTTGGGTAGTAATAGGTCTTAAAGACTAGTATCTGAATTTCAAAAAATTTCACACATCAGTGATTTTCTTCATGAAATTCTTCTTTTCTAAGGGTTGCCTTGTGGTGCGCCTAAGAAACTTTATTGCTAGAACTAGCTAGCTGATCATTATTGTATATTGATCTGAATATTTTATTATATAGTATTCCCAAGACTGGAATATATCCTTATTCGCATATTTTTGTCCCTTTCCATAAGGAGGACTTGTCCCCACCAGAACTTGAAATGTTCTTATCTTGTATTCATTCTCATTTATTCACAATTATATGTTTTTTTTTCCACATTGTCAACCTCCCACGATACAATAATACTCCCAGCTTTGGGAAAGATGCAAGTAACGGAGGTTGTTACATTCTATTTACGAAGTCCAAGAGAGAACGAACAAAACCCTCATATCAGTGAGGTCTTTTACCTGGGGATCGGAGTTGGTTGCCGGTTTCGAAAATAAATAGAAAGGGATAGGCTTGCCTCACGGCATCATTATTTTTCAGGTGTTATCTCGGATGCTTTTTGTTTGGGTATTCCCAGGGTGGACTCTCTCAGGAGGTATGGAAAGGGTGGTGATTTTTTCAGGTTTTTTGATTGTTATATTTTTGTTCTGGCACACATTGTCGGAATTTTCTATTGCCAACCCTCGGAACTTTGGATACTCCTCTTGGGTATAGGCACAGCGCGGGGGTGATTGACCACGCAGTACCTTGGTTTTCTTATTAGTCTTGCATATATAAAAATGGGACGTGTGAGATCCTTATCAAATCTCATGGATTGAAGGGGTTTGGCTTGGTGTATCGAGTTTTTGCATGGATTGGAATTTTGCATGGGTTTGAGTTTATATAAGCTCCAAGGGTTGCCACATGAATGAATCATTAAGGGCGTGGATTGGATGTTTTTGGATGGGGGTCCAAATGGATTCATGATATGAACTATCGGACATGGTTGCCAGCGATTTGTTGCTGTCTCATCTGCGAAAGATGGAGCAGAGCATACACAAAATACGTTGTTTTTTTAGTTTACTATAAAAGAAATAAAAAAGTTTGAAAATATTTTGAATGGTTTCTTGTGGTTGAGTGTGTATGTGAGTGTGATATGAATGTAAATATGATGATATATACTAAGTACCTATGTGTATACATGTATACATATGAGATGTAAAATAGTCGAGCGATTTTCGGTCTACCTATCTATGTATGTATGGCTCTTACTCTAACTACCTCGATAGGTATTTATACCTTTCTATTTCTCAGGATGAAGATTCTTGTCTTTAATAGTGTTTTTTTTTGTTACTATTTTGCTTTCTGCTTTCTGCTTTCTGCTTCCGATTTCGATTTTCGATTTTCTGCTTTCGATTTTCGATTTTCGATTTTCGACTTTCTATCTTCAATCTAGTTATACTCTTTCTTTCCTCTCAGTAGATGGGTAGGTAGATAGATGAGTAGTATATTCTTATGAATTATCTTATTTTATCTGTTCTCTGGTTTTTAATATTATGTTTGAGTTGAGTTGAATTGAATTGAATTGAGTTGAGTTGAGTAAGTTGGATTGAGTTGGGTTGAGTTGGATTGAGTTGAAGTGAGATAAATTAGGGAATATATAATTGTGATATGATTTTTTTAAGGGATAAGAGGTTTGAAATGGAAAGAAAGGATATAAATGTAGATTGGAAGTTTATGTAAAGGTAGGTATGTATATAAGTATATGGAAGGGAGGTGAGGTTGGAGATTATGGTTAAAATGGTGTGGATGGAGAGATTGGATGGAGAGATTGGATGGAGAGATTGGATGGAGAGATTGGATGGAGAGATTGGATGGAGAGATGGATTGAAATTGGGAATTAAGTTAGAATGATTACATGAATAAATAGATGGATGAAGAGATGAATAGAGAGATAGGTAGTTTAAATGGATGAATGGAGATACTTGTGATGATAGAAGTGAGAATGAGACGGCATGATATGGGTAGTATTCTGAAACACTGCGATTGGGATGGGGATTGGGATTGGGATTTTATAGGGAGGTAGGTAGGTAAAGAGAGGTGAATAGGTGTGGATGGGTTTTGGGGGTTGGTGTTAGGACAATTGGAAGATTGGATTATATGGTGGTTTTGGGGGTTTGGGTTAAGGGGTATGGGTACTGGGAATGTGTGTTTGTTTGGGTTTTTAGGGAGGAGGGAGGAGAGGTGTTTTGGACTGGGTGGTTGGATGGGTGATACTATAGGTGATGAGGATGGGGAAGATGGGATGATAGAGTATTATAAAGGACGAGAGGGGACGATAGGGATAGAGGTTGATAATGAATGATTATTTTATAGTGAAATGGGGTATAAGGTACAAGATTACTATAGAAATTGTAAAAGTATCTTGGGAGGTGAGTTGATTGGGATTTCGGATTTCGGATTGGAAATGGGGGTGGGGGGTAGGTAGATAAGTTTGTAAAAAGGTAAGTTATATATTTAGTAGTTTAGATTATATAAATCTCTATGTATACTACTAAAACCGTCTAACAGATGTCGCGTCCATCTCGAGATCGGATTTCTGATTTTGTGGTACGGGTGAGATTAGGATTAGATATTAGGGAGAATTATATTTTTCTTTCAGGAGAAAGATCATGAGAGGGGGAATCGAAAGGTTGGTGGGAACTTGGTGTGTTGGGATATGATGTATGTACTTGTCTGTAGGTATGGAAATGAGAGATTGGAGGGAAAGGGTGATGGTGTTTAGGATGTCTATCTATTATGTCTGGGTATGTGGGAGGATTTCTTCGAGAATATATTCTTGCACTTCGTAATCTAGCTTCCAGTACTCATTTCAATTTCCTTTCCAACTATTCATCATCTCCCTCGGCTTTTTGAGATTTGGCCGCCACAAATGATGCTTTACAATTTGACACCTCTCGCCATGAAAACTGACCTCTTCATATCTTTTCTTCCCCCCTCAACCCCAGTTCCGTGAAACACAATCCCCTTCCCCAACACCATATATCCAAAATCCGCACCTACACCTGCATCTACGAAATCTTCTTGATTTCCTCCTCGGAAAATCCATGATGAGTAATTGTTTCCTTCGCTTGTTGAGCTTGTTCATTTAATTCCTCGTGATGTTGATGAGCATGAGCATGATCATGACCATGCTCCCCATGAGCATGAGGATTTCCATGCCCATCATGACTTTCAAAATCCACCACCGCCAAAATCCCACCTTTCTTCAACCTCTCTCCAATCTTTCTCGCCGCCAAGGACGGGTTTGAGAAATGATGGAATCCCAATCCCACAACCGCAATATCAAATTGATAAAGATCTTCAATCTCCAATTCCGGAGCCGGCTCGGAGGAAAGCAGGTTTCCTTGATGAGCAAACATTTCGGATGGAGAAAGTCCTTGGTTGGATGCGCGCGCGTTGTACTGCGATACCATGGAGGAAGAGAGATCGATACCGATGGCGCGGGTGATGGTGGGGAGTAGAGCACGGGTGATGAGACCGGTGCCGCAAGCGTAGTCGAGGAGCTTGACGGTATGCGCTGGGGGAGAGGTCTCGGTGACCCAGTTGGCCCCGATGAAGGACATGGTGCGGTCTTCTTGGATGATGGAGATTAGTTGTTCCATGGTTTTTTGGAGCCGCGTGTCGTAGGTTGAGGCATGCGTGCTGGGTTGGAGTTAGTGGTGATTGTGATTGTGTGAGAGAGTGAAGGGGCGGATATATGTATAGTAAATGCAGGTAATCCATAATTGTAGGAGAAGGCAAATCTTCTCCATCTCGTGAACACTGGTTCGAAACAAGAAGCAATAGTCCCAGCGCTTGCCAGAGCAAAAAATCTTCATCCCACAAGACACAAGACATGGGACCAGGGCATGTAAGAACAATCCCATTTCCTCATCAAATACTCTCCAACCCAACAGGTAATACGTACTCCCAATGTTCTCTATTCTTCTCCGTCACATCCCCATCATGTGTATGCTCCGACATTTTCAATCCAGAATTCTCAAAAGCCTCAATTCTATACTCAAATTTTCTAATCTCGATCCGTCTCAAATAATATCCGAGAATCAATGATAATAAAATGACAAAGAGGATATGATAATAACTTCTAATCATAAATATCTATTCTTTCCCACAAAGAAAAAAGTTGCAGGACACCGGTCGAATGTTCGTTATATTTATATCGTAGGTTTGTCGTGCTTTAGTGGGGTGTAACCAACCAAAGTGGGGTCGAAAGAATCAAAGAATGAATGGGATCTCGCTTGTCGGAGAGCTTTCGGGGACTTTTTGACGTACTGGGATTAGACAGAATAGGGGGCTTGGGGGAAGCATGGAAACAAGTCTCCGAATGTATGAGGGTTGTGATGCAATAATGTCTACGGGTCGGAGAGTTAATTTCCCCTTTGTTGTATATTGAGAATTCTGTGGGGAGTAATTGAAGATGGGGCTCTTAGTGTTTTTGAGGTCGAATTCAATCAATTCCATGGATTACATACAATACAATACTCGCGCTGTGTGAATTATTCTCTACTTGAATTACTTTTGTTATATGAATTACCCTAATGGCATAAATCAATCTCATGAAACGAACCTTTCTCATTTTGGGAAATACTCTCGTTGGGCAATTACTCTCATCGTATGAAAGACTCTTGTTGTGTGATTACTCTCATTGTATCAACTATGTAATTATAATGTATGCCATTTTTCCTTTGAAGTCGATGGAGAACTCCCGAGTTTATTAGTTGATACCTTCAGCAGTAGGTAATGGGATAGCCTTGTAGAGCAAGATGAGCGCAGAGTGAGATTCTCCACCACCAGCGAGAGTAGCAATCTTCTCAGCATCGACCTCTGAAACCTTGTCATCGTTGAACCACCACCACTTTCCATCTTCCTCACCACGTACGCCAGTCTTGCGGTCAAGTGGTCCTTGCTTCTTCACATATGAAGTGTAATGACCGCTATCCGCACTAGATCCTTGATGGGTAACAATACCACGAAGTTCGTAAAGACCAGACTTGTTTGCTCCGTCATCCTTGGCAAGCTCTGGATTGATTAACGCATTCAACTCCTTCTTTGCCTCCAAGATTGAAGCTGCTTTTTCCGCATCAATCTCCGCGTCGGTCTTATAAACAACATCCTCCATTTCGGTATCACCGTCTTTAGACTTAGTCTCCTTCTTCTCATCTTTCTTTGAGGAAGATGATGCTTCATCGACAAGGCCAGCTTTCTTGTCAGCTTCTTCTTTATCGTGAATACGCTTTTGACGCTTGCGAGCACGTTCAATATCTTCCTCTTCCTTTCGTACTTCACGAACCTTGTCCCTAACCGGGATCAACATTTGCTTGAGCTCATCCGTACAGAATTCTACTACGTCCAATTCATGAGGAAATGTAACCTTGCGCATAATCTTTGCTTTCTTTTGAGCCTCGCGTTTCCAGAAGAATCGAACGAAATGGACAGTGAGGTATTTGGGAAGACGTGAGATTTTGGATTTTTTGGTGTAAATGGCATCGCGACCAAGGACTTCAGATCTCTTTTCAATCTTTTCCTCCAATCCTGCGACCAGTCCATCTCGAAGATGATTAGTTGCGCCAGTGATATGACAATCCAGCTTCAAGAAAACATCATTTCCTTTGATTTGTTGTTCACCTGCGTCCTTTGCACCTTGCTCATCACACTCCGTGATAGATTGGAATGCTCCCGCCATATATTTGTCAACAAAAGAGACCGACGTAGATGAAGATCCTTCAGTGTTTCCACCTTCACCAATCTTTAAGCTTGATCGTAGTACCTGGAGGATTTGCGTCCAAGCTTCTTCAGCATCTTGTTGTGCGTAGCCGTGGCCATTCTTGGCTTTTTCTTGAAATTGTGGGAAGGCTTGTCGTAGAGCGTTGAGATAAATGAGTGGCGGAAACGCCTCTTGTGTTTCTGACATCTGCGTGTACAAATCTCGCATTGCGGCTGTCAGATCGAGCGATTGGGGTCGACTGAGTTGGAATGCATTGAGCATGTTGTTGGAACCTGTTTCAGATGGTGTGAACTTCTGCAGACTATCTTGCAACTCTGGAATAGCTCTGAGAGTTTGTAACGTTGAGTTGAGATAACATGTATTTCCCAAGTTTTGTAATCCGGCTGGTGTTGCTCCAACTTGTTGTGCAGCTTCTGCTTCGGTCATATCTTCAACAAATTTTATCGGTTCCTTTGGCTTAGAAAGTGTTCCTCCCTCTGCAGGTGTTCCCATCATCAAAAATGTCTGTCCTGGCTTGGCGCCGATTTTCGAAAGATCAGTGTCATCTTTAAGTTGCCCGCCTTTAACCAAGATCTTTTGTCGTTCTGGCTCAACGCCAGTGAGAGAATAGAGCTGATATTTTAGTGTTTCGCCGTTGGACGTAGGATCGAGCTCGATATCATATTTCTTGCCTTGATGCTTGATAATGATCGGTATATTCGACATGATGATGAGGGGCTCACTTTTTGTGAATGTTGTTCAGAGAAAGGTAGGTAGGTGGTAGGTAGACTTGTAGATAAATACCTAGCAAACGGGACGGTTCTCTTAGCGCGCCTTACGTAGCTTTGTGGGATGCCTGACTCCACCATGTAACCCGATTACCAACGATTTAAAACACTTATTAATGTCTTGGTATAGTTTATGTCACTCAAGGATACTCACGATATTTGGAGATGAAAGGATTGAGAATATGATAAAATAGGAGGTTTCAATTCCATTCTGCAAATTTCAATTCAAAATAATGATTATCTGATTTGATATCGATTATTGAACCAAGTGAGATAGATTTGGTTGGAAGGTTTCCTTCGTCCATGCGGCTTTTTCCGTCCGGGGCTGCTTGACTCCTTGACGATTAGAGAGAAAGCCCCACCAAAGCATCGACAACACGTACGGCTGGTTGGTACTGTTAATGACATCTTCTTATTGAAAGGAGGCATTCGAAATAAGAAACATCAACGAGATGGTATGTAGCAATCCAGAATTCCTATCATTATAGCTTAAAGATTTTAAGAGTGGCAGAATTTTACTAAACTAATCCTGCAGTCTCAATCATTGCGACCTTACCTTCAATGCGTACGATCCTCCTTGACAGCAGCTCTATGTCTCTCGAACTTCGCATCCCAGACCTCCGAAAGGCACAATGTTCCCGAAATTGAAGCTAAGACTTCACCGGAAGTTCTGTTAAATTCATTGACAGTCGCACGTAATGAGAATGAACGGGTTCTCATTGAACCCAGTATCAACAGTGTCCGAATCAGTATCAACATCAAACAAGCGGACGAAATTGAGCACATTCTCGTACACAAATTCACAAGGTTCTTGACTCAAAGAGCAGAAGCATTCTTCATTCTTAGGAGGAAACCCGTTAAGGTGGGTGGCAGGTTCAGATGTGCAAGGGCTGGAGGCTGATTTTGAATAGGGCTACGATATCTCGTTTTTGATTACGAACTTCCACACAGAGGAGATGTTAAAGCATAAGCTGGTGGACTTCATCATAGAATTTATGGAGGAGGTTGATAAGGAAATCTCGGAAATGAAGCTATTTGTGAGCTTTACCTTTACCTAAAATCAGATCGGTCACTGACAGGCAATAGTTGAATGCTCGTGCAAGATTCGTTGCAGAATCGTTCTTAACACCAGTAAGTCATCCTGCTATGTTTCCTGCATTAACTAATGTGATACCTTCAGTTCGATTAAGCTCGGGGCTGGTTTTCGGAGTATACAATATTGATAGTAGCATATTTGAGATCAGCGGTGTGGGAAGTCGACATTTTGATCCGGCGTTTCGGAGAATAAAAGATCTTATAAACAGGCTATCAGCTGGTATTCAATACCTTGTATCATTTCTGGGTGAACGAACATATATCATCAATGCGAAGGACATGCAATCTTCATTTGAGGTCTTATTTCATCTCACGGCTCTGACACCTTTATTTTCATACACTCTTCTGAATCGATTGTTCAAGTCACGGTGGTGTATCTTCATTACGCCGTGTTATATAGTCTTTGTACTGTGCAGTGAAAGGGGTCTGAAACGAGCTTTGTGGGATCTCGAATGGAATTAAATTACTTGAACCTACCCGCAGTAACAGCCTTTGAATCGTATAAGCTCACTATAATACCAATAATCCAGGACCAGAATTGACGATCTTGAGCTTCATGATTAACACTTGAGTCGTGTACATTGATAGGAGCACTTGGCATTTACTGAACTTACCTACCTGTTGAACAATTGCCATGAATACAACATGTGACCGGTATAATATGAATCACGCTAGTGATGCATCTGCAAGGTTGTCATTCAAACACCGACTTTTCTAGAATCCCACCATCGCTATTATATGCGACGATGTTATCTTCAACTTCAACAGAGAGTGTATATTGTATATTTTAGTCCATACCATGATAGATGAATCCCTTAACCTCTTGGATTGAACTGGTGATGTTGAGGATTTTCTACCTAATAATTCCGACTGCATCTTATTACATCTCTAGCCAATAACTCGACAAATGAACTTGGACCTATGGTTCAAACTCACCACTGGCAATTAATGAATCAAATCTAATATCGAGTTTGCGGCGTTAAATACTCATGCATAAAACTACACCTCCTTCGGCTCCTAATGGGCCTTTGAAAGAGACAACTGTGTCAATAATGCCAATGAATGGTTACACATCACCTGCACTCCCTCCAATCGACACCTCAAATTCCCCGTTTTCTGCAGACCTAAATCACTATACGCCCGTCAGGGGCTCCAAATCTTCCTATAAACCATTGGATATTGATAGAGAAGATATTCGCCTTCTTATTCTTCATGCGCCGGCTCCAGTGGCCAGAACTATGAGTTTATTCATGTTTCTCTACTCACCAATGTGAAATATGAGGCATTGTCTTATGCATGGGGTGATTTGCCTGCAAACAAAACAATTAAGATCGATAAGACAGATTACTACGTGCGAGACAATTTATTTGCAGCACTAGAAGCTCTTCGTCTGCGGAGTCGGCGGCGTTATCTGTGGGTGGATGCTGTATGCATCAATCAAGAAGACTTTGATGAGCGCAATGCGCAAGTTGCACTTATGAGTCAAATATATGCGAAAGCCGATGAGGTTATTGTCTGGTTGGGGAAAGCTGGAAGAGATTACTGGGGCGCAATGACTTTGCTAGACAGTCTGGGCAATTCCGCAACGTCTGCGAAAGAGTTATCGAGATCCGTAACAGAACATGCAGCTGTTTCTCATGTAAAGTTTTGGACTGAATTGTCTATGTTGTGCCACAGGCCATATTGGCAAAGACTTTGGATTATACAAGAGGTAGTCCTCGCTTCAAAAATCAAAGCGCACTGCTCATCATTAATCTTTGATTGGGAGCGCCTAGATTGGGTGTTTTCGACGAATGAATACTATTCAAGAGACAGCCACAAGCTTATATGTTGGTACATCGTTAGCTGGAGGCGGCGATAAAGGATACTTTAGCTTACTCCAGACACTGGAAGCTATCCGAAATAGTGTACCATCTCGCTTATCCAAGAGGAGACAAGAGATCAAGGAACGAATCCCCTTGCTAGATCTTTTTCTGACTCACAGTGAAGCATTATGCAACCGATCAAAGAGATAGGTTTTTTGGCTTGTATAGCCTTGCAAAGGATTGCTGCACCAAGGCCACGCCTGCAGATTATAGACAAACGTTCTTCGAAACTATATCTATGGTTACTCTGCATCATTTCCGTCGCCATACCGATAAACTTGACGTTCTTCAGAAATATGAACATTTCCGACAAACTCTTGCGAGAACGATGCCCAATTCAATCCATATCGTGCAAGATTTCCTCGATCATAATCCAGATGCTTTGGAAGGTCAAGAGATAATGAAAGCAGTTGGAAACGTTCGAGGATCTATTGTGTATATTAGCCCACCGCTAAAAGATTTATGTTTAACAGACTATCTTCGAGGTTTAGACTTTTTAGACTTGAATGCAACTCCACTCATTGAGGATCAATTGCGTTACTTCTTTCATCAACGCGGCGGTAAAGGATACTTTCACAATGATCGGCTTCATAATATCGATGATATTTGCAATTATGGGAGTCGTGAGAAATGCTCATTTTCGGCTTTTTACTTGAAAGCTGCCCCTAGAGTCGAGGATATCGATTTGCTGGCTTCTGATGTATCAAGCCCGCGTCAAAAGTCGCTGCCACCAGGAAAGAGAGATCGCATAGTGAATCAACTAATGTCCTCGTTCAATCAAACCCTCCATGAAGCAAAATGGAAGGCAGAGCAATCTAGCAATACTACACAAGTCAGGTTGTTCTTGGAAGAGAATGGGATGATAGGATACGTATCAGACAATGCACAAGTTGGCGATCTCATTGTTCAGTTCCGCGCTACAAGCACCGCTGTAGTCATGAGAAAGGAAGGAGATCAAGGTAACATTGTCGGAAGAGTATGCGATCTACTCGATCGCCGTTCGAAGCATGGAAAGTCACGACCTTTTGTATGCCAAGATCAAGACATCGACGAGAATGGATTTGATGTGCCACCTCAATTAATATGTTTACGCATGAAGCTTTCAGCCTTGCGGATGTTTGCCAATGGAAATATAATGTATAATTGAACAGCTACTCTCGATATTTGGGACAGGCATTCTTGATTCGTGAAGTCGGGGTTTAAATCGAGTGAGAGCGAACAAATTTATCTCTCCAGATTTTACACCAAATTTGGGAATCTCAAAGAAGTCCCTCCATGTGGCTCGAAGGGTCGAGAAACGCTTCAAATAACTTGCAGAATAGACGGGCAGGCACTTTCAGTATCTTCTTTTCTGGAATGTAAGGATGATCCCCCATTCATCTTGTCAAATAACGAAATATACGGAACAGAATTTCGAAGATTAACAAAAGCAAATCCGTCTGTGGGATTTTACTCAGCATCTTGAAACCACACTAGAAACCCTCGATTTCAAATTTTATGGGAACCTTCGAAGCATTACCCGTGATCAATAGTGCCTTTGGCCCCAAGTAGATACCCATCTAGTCGCGAGTGTCGCCGCGTCTTATTGTGTATTACTCATCAAGGAGACGGGGTATCTAGGTAATGTCATATAAGGCATTCAAATGGAAAATCGTACAGTGTATTTTCAAGTAGTTAGTCTACAGCTTCCCACAATCTTTTTTCATATTCAATATCAAGATAGAAACACGAGCAAAGAGGAAGAAGCCTTCAGGACAATACGGATAACGGACAGAAACTCTTTGATGACGAGGGTGATTTATGTGTTTGACTTTCCTCGACTTTAGCAAACAGCCTTGAGCTGACTTGTTCTGCCAGAAAATGCTGGTCGTTAGATTTCATCGTCTTCAAGTTTTAGCGGATTAGATGATTTTGAGTCTTCCGATGCGGCTGTCTACTTGCACAACGCGCACAACAACCTTAGTGAGACAGAAGATCACTTACATGCAGGTACTATCGTTATCACTGATCGAAAGACAAAATGTATTCCGCAAGCAATTTTCCAAACTTCAGCGAGCTACCACGTGAAGTACACGATACGGCTAGGGAATATACATTATCGAGCCCGCGGCCAGGCCAGGCAACTCACGAAAATATATCCATCCACCAGTCTTTTCTCTGGAAAGGACTAATAGAAAGGCTGAGTAGGATAGGAGCTTAGATTTTGTCTTGGGCTGTAGTAAAATATAAACTGTACATTGACGACGTAGGCTCGTGCATGATCTTTGTGGTCAAGAGCTGTTGAGATATGATTTGGCTGGATAGATGAATCGCAATTATGCTGGCAATGTATCATACAGTACAACACGGTACCAGGTAATAATATGGGTCTTGATGATATGTTCATGAACATTAATACTATGCATGTCTTCTTGAGATTTGTAATGAGGTTTGAAACTACACTTTAGTCGTTGTGGTATGCTTATTGCCTAATGAGCTTTCTAGAAAGGGGCAGATACTGCAGCCAAGGGCCCAAGGCTGAGCTCCACTATGAAGTCAATACGAACCTCGGCTTCAATCGCTACCAAGGAGGAATCCAGTCGAATGGTAGTTGATGGTCAATGTCAAGATTAATAATTCTGGAAATAGATAATGAATCCACTTCTTGTTATTGCGATGAGAAATTGAAGTTTAAAAAAAGTTTCAGGGGTTAACCTTATGTCGGCAAATCTGAGTGAGACATGTGAGTGGCCGTTAGAACATTTCGGCCCGCTTTTGCATGAACCTCGGTCAAAAACGATTTCCTTATCAAAGAACATTTGGTTGTATGAAGTTGTTCTCGAAAAAGAATTATATTACACTCTAATATATATTTGGACCTGAGTTTCTACAATAAGGAACTACGCCTCATTCTCCAGAATAGACCTCTCTCTCTCACACATTCTTTCCAATTTCAAGCACTCACGATAACAAGATGACTGATCGGCCAACGCTTGTTCCACCTCCTCCTATCAATTCCTCGAAATCTGCCATCGAGAATGTGTTAGAGCTTCGGGAGCTGAGTCAAATTGCGCCAGTAAGAACCCGATTTCCTAAAATTCCGTGCAGACTGCTCAATGGACCTTTGAATCTAACCTCTCTCTACCCAGGATATCTTCACGAATACTCACCCCTTATGGCATCCCCCCGGCGCACGAGGCATATACGGAGGGGCAATTATCGCACAATGTCTTGCAGCCGCACAATGCACGGTCCCGCATAACTTCACGGTACACAGCATGCACTGCTATTTTGTTTTAGCTGGAAACTCCGATTTGCCAGTCATGTACTACGTCGAACATGTCCGTGAAGGCCGCTCGTACGCTACTCGCACAGTACAAGCACGCCAAAAGGGCAAATGTATATTCACAACCACTATGTCATTTGTGAGGGAGAATAGTGGAGGGAAGCAAAAAGTAGAACATGCAGTTCCAATCCCCAAGAACATCAAACCACCGAATGAGGATGAAGAGTTGTTCCAGATGGAAATGAGGACTGATAGTCCATTTGTTAGTCAGAGGTTCGAAATTTTGAATGGGGAGACTGGGCTACCGCATGAAAAGAGAGCCAGGCAGTGGATCAAAGCAAGAGGAAGGATCAGTGATGAAGGTGGACATCAGGCACATTTGAATGCATTGGCTTATATGAGTGATAGCTACTTCATTGGAACTGTTGCGAAAATACATAAGCTATGGACATATGGCAGTGAAGAAAAGAAAAAGAAGGGAGAGACCGCAGAAGAAAACGGCCACGATAAGTATATGAGGAAATTGAAAGAGGCAGAAGGCTTCGGGGATGACTTGAATAATGAAAAGAGGAGGCCAGAGATTGGTATGATGGTTAGTCTAGACCATACTATATATTTTCATGAGCCTAGGAGGTTTAGAGCAGACGAGTGGATGTTTTCGGAGATGTCAAGTCCATGGTCTGGAGATGGGAGAGGAGTGGTCACCCAGCACATTTTTACTCAGGATGGAACATTGGTTGCTACTTGTTTTCAAGAGGTAGGGTTTTTCTTCGCAGAATCATATTGAGTATATTGCTAACAGGTATTGTAGGGTGTTGTGAGACTTAACCAAGACGGAACAGAGAAAGCCAAAATCTAAGGGAATCTTTGATGTAATGATATAATTCTGAGAAGCCGGTTACCGAGTACAATAGATAGAATAAGGGGGAAGAGAATGAGGGACGAGCATTGAGCATTGAACATATGCAGAATTGTGTTTTAATAGACTTTTAGATTTTATTTTCGATACCATTTCGTACGTTTTGGTTCTTGGGGCAGCTCGAGGGCAAAGCGATAGACTTCCCAAAGAGACGGAGCATTGGATATTCTGGATCTTGTTTCTGATATACTACTCCTTGTATTTTCATACGAAAACACATGGATATAATGAAGTCTTGTCAAACTGCACAAATACGCACGGCTAACAGAGAATCTCTGCAGACTTCAGACTTCAGGTCTTCTGCATTGACAGTGCATTGACATGTGATTGTGGATCATCTAGCTGAGCTGTTCTTTGACAGCAAGTTTCATGCAATCTATGGCACTTTTTGTTAGTAAGTTTAGGAAACGAACACGACAGGTACTTTATTCTCACCAATGTACCTTCAGAGAACCCTTTTCTTCAACAGTCTCTCATTGCTCATTCATTTGATATCGTAGCCTTGCTTATTTGGCTCTTCAGCCTCGTTTACGTCATCCCGGAGCGTTTGGATTCCGTTCACCGAAATCTTGTTTGTACAAAAGTATGTATGGTATAGCCTTTTATAGCCTTAGCCTTATTTGATGCCTAGCGATATTAATTCAACTCCCAACTCAGACAACCTGGAAGTCTCGGTCAGCAGGTTCCAAACAATTTCAACATTAACTTATTTCAGCTGACGACGTGTTCGTGATAACAGTTGGTCACACACATTTGAGACTTGTTTTCGGAATAAACCTCAGTTGGACAAAATACTCGATTCGCCATTTAGCAAAACGTTGCGATTGTGCGAAAATAAACAAACCCCCGAGATTCTAATTTGAATTCTTGCGCCGCGTATTCAATGCATGCCATACGGCAGAAATGCCGTCCCAAGCATCAGGTTCTTATACTGAAATGCTATCCCAAGACAATAAAGGGGGCAGTCGATGTCAAGCCAAATTCAAGTGAATTGAGTTATCTCTTGTTTTACGCCACGACACGAAGGAGCAAGGTGCAAAAGGTCGGGGAATTTCTGGAGAAGAAGACCGCAAGTGATGTTTGGAGAGCTAGAATAGGGTTTGTTTATCCGTCCAAAGTTCAGCTATGATATATGCTGATTGGGAAAATAGAAATGTGCAGGTTACCCTCCAAATCCTGGCAGCCTTGATCGAAAAAGCACCCCGAGACCTACCTCTGTATGCGCCTTACGTTCTTAAGATTTTCAATATCATACTTCGTGCGCAAGATGTCACCATGGTGGAATCCTCAATCCCCACTTTCCAGGTCTTCTGCGAGAATCATGACATGGCAAGTCTTTCCGCCGATCAGGAATATCTCCACCAATACGAGGAAATCGTGCGAATTTACGCGTCATTCGCCTCTACAAGAACACAGACAAGCAGTAACCCTCAGAGCGCACCGGTCGCTATTAGATGGAGGGGTCTTGGCTTACAAGCTGTCAAGAGCGTGGCATCTTCCGAAGCTTTGTCTACAGTGGCGGGAAGACAACTAGATGTCATTGTGCCGATACTGTTAGAGAATATTTGGACGGATAATGAGGACTTCATTGATATATTACAACAACGAGCTGAGACAGAAGATCACATTGGAACGGAAAAGTCATTGTTAAAGAGAAGGGCAAGCAATGCGACGGCCAGAACAGCTGATACAGAAGGAGAGAATGCTACCCCTTTACCTGGAACAACCGCAGACGTAGATAAATTGGCAGAGGAAAACATTGGTGTTTTAGCTACACAATGTTTGAAACAAATCTTTGTCGTCAACAATCGAGCTCAGATACATGGAGCTACGACAGCTGTATTAAAGTTTATTGCAGACCGAGTTTCCCAGAAAGAATCTGTCATTGAGAATGGTCCAAACGACAATTGCAAAGGATGGGCACCACGCATTTTTGAAATGATAGCCAGATGGACTCCAGTTCAAGATCGATATGTCATTCTGGTGACAGCCATGGATAGTTTGGTGCGGGCTGACCAAGTTGAGGCCACTCTTATGCAACAGCTTGTTCTTGCGACCATGGTAGACTCTTTACTCAGATCCGATATCAACCTGATAGGATTAAGCGTAATGGATGTTTTACTTGGGCTTATACAGCACATATTGATAGTTCTCCAACTTGGAAATGTCGGTGGACCTCATCTTCAGCCAGATAATGGAGCCGATGAAAAAGTCGATGCTGGTGCTTTGCATGCGTCAATTGCATCTGAACCCGCTCTTGTACCAACAGGCACTAGGAAGGATCTCTTAGCCCGATTACAGAATTGTCTAGGAGATTTGGCCACGCACGTTTACTATGCAGATCAAATATCTGACATGGTATCAGCGATCTTATTACGTTTGAAACCTTCGACACTATCACCAGTTCCCAGCACTGCTGCAGCAATTGAAGATCCAAAATCTGCTACAGAGGCTCTGTTGTCTGGTACTAATATGACCGAAGATCCTAATACTGATGGATTTTTTTCGTTTGATACAGCCAAGATCACAGCTCTGGAATCAATAAAGTTGATTCTGCTTGTGGCAAGTCACAAGACTATGACTGCTGGAAACCTGGGACGAAATAGAGTTCCAATCAAGACTTGGGAAGGTACACAATGGTTATTACGTGACACGGATGGGCGTGTGAGAAGAGCGTACGCTGATGCATTATTGACGTGGCTTGATCGGGAAGTCACCAAGACTGACCAGCAAATCTTTGACGATAAGTCGAAGGGATTGGCGAAGAGCGCACGGGATGAATCATCCACCAATCTCACGAAGAGAGCAGTTTCGAACGCATCAAAAGCAGAGAAACCCTCTAGACCGTCATCCCGGACAACATTTTCCGAACTGCTACATCTTGCCATCTATGAGAATGCCTTGCAATTTGTAGAATACGAGAACGATATACTTCTACTACATCTTCTTCTCACAAGTCTTGTCAAGCATTTGGGAGTAAATGCGATCAGAAGCGGGTTACCCATGATGTTTCGATTACAAGAAGATATAAAATCGTTTGAACTACCAGTTCAAAAAGTCCGAATCGGAAGTCTATGTCATGGATATTTCTGGGCATTGTGCGAGAAGTTCGAAATTGAAATGTCACCCGTTGGCAAGACAATCCAAGACGAAATCCGTCAACGTCAAAAGGCTATGTTTTGGGCTGATAGCATTCGATTTCCTCCTGTTAAACTCCATGATATTGGCCCACAAGGGAAAGTAGCATCTCAACAAGAACAAACTCCCAGTTATGCTGGAGCTGACTCTCTGTCAACCTTTGATGACAGGTTCCAATTGGTCAAACTTGTCTCATTATCATATGCAGCATCTCTAAGTTCCCCTCCAAGCAGCCCCCCAACATCTCCTGGCCGAAGCTTTACCCATCCAATACTTAGTGCGGATGTGCCTTCGTCAACACGAGATACCATCATACCGGAAAGAATCAAGGAAGAAATGATGTCAGAATGGAATAAGGAGTCTGTGATTGCTGTTGCGCAGGAAACTAGCAAAACTGCCTCAATCAGTGGATCACGTGCAGGTACAATGACCACTGGCCATCGTAATTTCCTTACTATTAATGGACTCGGTAATGGTAGTAACAGTGGAACAGCATCTCCTACTGGTGCTCAAAATGTAAAAAGTGGGGCAAATTCGACATACGGAACCGCTAGCGGGATTGGTGCCATGCACAAACTGAGAAAAGGTAGTGGACATTCACATGCGCCTGCTAGTGAATCAAGCCGTGGGTCAGTAACGAGGGTTGATCAATTAAAACGAGTACTCTCGGGTCAGACAGCACCTTTACCAGCTACAAGGGCCGGCGCGCCACAGAGTGATGCAAGTAGTGAGAGCATGGTTAGTTATGACTTCTCAGCTTCAGAGATATCTATCAACACGTACAACCCAGCAGAATAGTTTCGGGTGTAGAACGATCTGCATCTATGCGTTCGACCGGACGATCGAGATCGAAATCACGAGATAGAGCAGATGCCGCACATGATGGCACAACAGTCCCCCCTGTTCCACCACTTCCATCTTCGCTTGTGGGTGAAAATATATCCATTCATGACCAAGCGCAAAATCATTCGCCCGAAGCATTTCGAACCGGTCGAAGCACAAAAAGAAGCACAAAGAGTAGAGCTGGTGGATACTCAGGTATGCCATGGGGTGAAGACAATGGAAAGGTGGTAGATCTCCAAGATCTACTGAGTGGTATTGAGATTGGTGGGGATGGAAAGGGAAATGTTGGTATGCCACCTTATTGAGGTGTCAACTTTCAGGGTTTCTGGAGATACAGCCCGTTTGTTATATTGAGACAAGATGATAGAGTTGCATATAATTCATGGTACAGATCTGTATTACTATACCTCATTTTGTAAGCATGGAGTTTTGGTTGACAACACTTGTGGAATATTTACTGCTGGGTTGAGTCATAGCGATTGATTTTGGGGGAAAAGAGGCACATACATACGTCTTGCAGCAAATAATAATAAAGAAAATGAAGATGAGCTTTCGTTGTCGTGTCATAGGTAGTCACAGGTTAATGTCATATGCTATGTGCAGGTCTTCAATGGTTCAGGCTGCTGTTTGATAGTGATAATCTCTTGATTGTTGTATTGCTGAGCAGGGACGCATTCAATCTTTCATATCTTTCAAACCTTTTTCTTATCTAATAGTACAAACTAGTGGGCACAGTAATTATTTTAGTTGCATATCTACCTTCTCGTTTAATTTTCTTAGTTCTAAAATGTAGCTTTATATCACATGCAGGTAGCAACTCTATTGGTCAATTGTTTGATATCAGGATATCAGAATACATTCTTCTATTGTTTAATTTGTAATGATTCATTGTATGAAATTTCAAGGAATTACACAGTCCCTTGGAAATCAGTGAATGAAAGCTGAGTTCCAGGTCGACGCCTCTACCTTTCCGTGTTACTTGGAAAATTTTTGATCTTTCGAAGCTTATTCCTGGCCTACCTGCTGCTCACTGGTGCAATTCTTGCACACTGGATGGTCATGAGACTTGATGCACGCCTTTTGAGCCTCTCGGCAACAGTTTCTGTTGCAAAAACTCACAAATGTTGCATATTTAAGTCCTTCAACCGATAGATCGGGTCAATTCCTTCCATTCCTATCGTTGATGTATTGAATCTTTGCGGGTCTGGTACATTTCCACTGCGATGACGCAAGTCCTTCGTTTTGTCACATGGGAAATTGACCATGTCATTGGTATTAGATACGAAAGGACTTTGCTAGATTTAACTTGCATTTCATTTTAGTGAGTGCGCTTTATTCATTAGTGGTCAAAGACTGATTATTGGGCAAGCTGGAAATCAAAGACGTGTTGGAATATATTGTCATGCCCCCCCTAAAATAAGCGAGCCAGCGAGTTAGCGCTCATAACATCGTACAGGACTTACCACTCACGATTCCAAGGTAAAATTCCTTGATTTTGGTTTTTCCTGGAGCCTATCAAATGGATAAGCAAAGTTGCAGTATGTCCCCAAAGGAAGAACTGGAAAGTTGTATAGTGTAGCAGCAGAGAAAAAATATATAAACGAAGCTAATCGCAGCGATTCATCGTTATCCAACAAACGATTACTTCTTTTGAATTCGACTCGAGAGTCTCAAGATAATCAATCTGTCTCAAACAGCTGAAGATCCCTTCTTGCAAGACTTTTACCAAAATGACGAGTAATAATCCTACATATCAGTGAGTATAAATCTTCTCACAAAAGCTGCTCATAACTCACGAACTGATCTAGAGCTCAAAATCCCAGCGGACCTGGACAAACCCCTCAATACACTCAATATCAGCAACCACAAAGTTACCAACAACACTCTCAAGGATATCAACAATCCACCTACCAAGAGCAACCGTACCAGCAAGATCCATATACGCAATCCTATTCTGCACAGCCTCAAACCCAACAACTCGCCTATCAAAATCCCTCTTATCAAAGTGATCAATATCAGCAAACCACCTATCAGAACACTTCAACTACGTGGGCTCCACAAGACAACCAGCAGCAAGAGTTCCAAACACAATATCAAACCGTGCAGCCTGCACAGCTTACACAACACTCGCTCCAAGGTCTACCTGCCCCTGGAAGAGATAATGTGAACGTGTATTTGCGAGAAGATCAGAATTTCGAGAGAGTGCCGCAAGGATTGGAGACGAGACGTGAAGCCAGACTCCAAGAATGGGAAAGAGGATGGAATGCTGCGGGACGTAGATGAGTGAGGCTAGTGCTGGGTATTTTTCAGTTTTTTGAGTTTGTCTCTATGTGCACGGAAATGGTGGATGTAATCTGGGATAAGGGAATCATGGTGATGATTGATGAGTTGAATAATGAGGGGATTATTTTGACATCAAATGTCGCGCGGGAAAGAAATGTGTTGAAAGATTATTGTGTTTATGTGCAGGTTCTGGGAAGTGTGGACAATATAGTTTAATTCATTTGTGTTCAAATTATCACTGCCCCCAAAGATCTGCATCTATTGTGGCTATACAAGCCCCCAATTCTTGATAATTGATATCAAACATACCGTATGAGTCCACGGTGGCGTGTTTTCATTCGGGGGCTTTGATTATGGGTCATTTTATGATAAGAGACGACAATTAATCGATCATGGCACCGTGTATCTCACATGGAGACTGGGGTGGTACTTTCCGGAAGGATTTTTTTCGGTGGTGTTCTCTTGGGAGGTCCTCCAGCAGGACAAAAAGACTACAGAAAGGAATGTGCAGGACTTGAAGACACAGGACTTTCTAAGCTTGGGTCAAGCTTTTGATTCATGCTGGTATCGTCGAGTCTTTTCATGGCATTTGGAGGTATGAGATCTAGATCTAATAATACATATGCGGTCTCAACCCAGGACTCTTGACGGACTCTATTTTTAGCAATGTTCACTTCACGACTTTACACATAGTCTCATAGTGGGCAACTCGGAGATATCGAACAGTATCCTATGATTCAGTTAGTTCTGTTATCTTCCTGTCGGAACTCTAGAAATTGTGTTCAAAGAATACACTCGGACAACTGTGTGGGTCAAATTCTACATTATCACGTCTTAGAAGATAGCTTCGGGAACTCGATATCATTGTTAATTTAATCATATCGTCTATCCATCGCTTTCTTTGTGGGAGTTAACAACATATGATAGTTAATACGATGGCTACTTTGAACTGAATTCTGAAGCGCCTAATCGTTGCCTTCGTTTACTAAGATTCATCTTAGGTCTTGCAATACCTGTATTAATATTACGTGAACGTCAATGACGGAGAGATGTGAGCTTGAACTGTGAATCAAACGTCGTTATTCATTTAATTGTAATGCTAGATGAGCTAGCTGATATGATTAAGTTATTAAAAAAGTATTTTATCGATCCATTGGACCCGCCCAATAAACAATAAACCAGCTTGATGATAAAGTAGAAGGGACAGAGAACTTCAATGCTCATCGGCCCGAAAAGACAAGGTAAAAGAGCAGCTCGGCCCTTCCTCAGATCCGGATGAAAAAGAAATCCTCATTAAACCACGCGGGCCCTTCTTTGAAGGTTGCCACTCATTGAAGAAACCAGCTCTTTCGCTCCTCCACACCGACAAGTACCTTAATGACTATTCCAAAAAGTAAATCCCCCAAGTATATCCCTGTCAAAGGAAATTGAAAAACAAAACGGGCTATTGAGAGATGTCCTCAGAATTCAGTATTTTTCAAAAGCTCAGGAACTGACTGTGATCGATTCTGTTTAGGTCTGTTTGTCAATCCGCCGATTTTTCTTGGTGCTTTTGTAATTTTGCTACCAGCTCTTGGCCTCTTGGTATTTTCCGCCATTGAGTTTCTTCGATTTCGCTTTTGTCGAAGAATTACAGCACCATGCATATTCTCTAAGTGGGCATCGCGGTTTCCTGCTCTTGTAAATGTCGCTTTACAGTCCTTCATCTTGCAAACGATCCGATCCTTAAGAGTTATCTTATGTTCTTTCTCATGTCTTCTTAAATTGCCTGATTTCCATTGGTCTTCTCCGCTCGGCTCATAATTGCAGCCTGGGTAAGAACACTTCATGACCTTGTTGTCGGATTTCGGGGATGGACTGTCGTAAGTGGATGTCCTTGTTTGTTCTTCTTCTATTGGCAATTGGGTCTCGGGTATGGTCGCAAAATTAAAATTCTTATTAAATCCTCTACAAAGACTAGTAAGCATAAATTCTTCTTTGAGGAGGGTTATGGTACCTACCGGATGTTTTCCGCAGACCACGGAGATGCATACTTTTCTTCGTAAGTTTCAAAGAGATTTGGAGCGTATTGATTTTCAGTCTCCATGGCCGCACTGAAAGTAGCAGCGTCGGTCGTCTCACAATTTTCCGCTCCGGGTATGATACTTTTCAAGCAGCCAAATCCGCGTTGAATTGTGGATTGTACGTATTGAGCAGTATCGTCGGTAGAGAAGTGGTTTGGAAATCTTTGATCAATATCTGTGACATTTTGTGCCATATATGCGGATAAAGAATTGTTAATAACTCCCATCTCCCCAGAATCGAAAATGTTTTCTTTGAAATCAGAAAGATATGAAGCTTGCATGTGCTGATCTTTGCATAAATCATCGAGCTCAGACTGAATAGTCGCAGGGCCAAATGCATTGAAATCAATTGGTTGTTTTGATTGCAGACTGGAACTTTGGTCAAAGTACCTTTCGTGACTAAAATCTGGTGGGCTTACTAGCTGCCCAGCTTTAATGAAAAATGCATTCTCAAACCCTAACCGTTCGTCTCCTGAAAAGAGACTTCTCGGGCTGGTTGCAGAAGTATAGTCGGATTGGGGGGCTCTTGGGCCATAGCCCGAATCGCTTGTAAATGTTTCACCGCTAATATTCGTACTGGCAGTATCTGGTGACGAAATTCGAGGCGAATCTTCAAGTAGCCGCCCTTGATGTTGAATGGCGTCAACGTTAATTTCGAACTTTCTCACGTCCGTCTGAATCGCAGGGCACATTGATCCACGAAATCTGGGAGATTGGAGAGGCATGGAGATCGAAGAATCTGGCGAAAGATACGCTGCATCCATCTGGACTCGTATCTCAGCGGTTATATCGACCATTCCAGCCTCTGCAGGGCTACCAAAGCCAAGAGTATCGGACAGGCAATGGCCAGCACTAGGAGTTGACTCTTGAGTTCCGATGTACCATGGGGTCCTATAGCCAGCTTGATCACCATGAACGGATGGAAACTCTGTGATGAATGTTGAGCCTGCTTCAGGTGTGTCAAGAGATTGGAAACGACCGTTGGATGCGGAACTTGGAGACACGATGGCTCGTAAAGTGGACGATATTCGCTTTTGGTTGTTAAGAAAGCTATGACCTGCGAATGGAGTTGACTGATCATGAGTCAGACTGTCTTCTGGAAGTTCTGGCAACAGGCTGCTATCCGGAAGTTCATGAAAATTACTCTCCCCGGAGAGTTCTGTCAAAAAAGTATCCTTTGCGCTCTCTTGAAACTTCGTCGGACTGGGAGATATGTGTTCGCCGTCGTGAGAGAGTGGGTTTTGCGGTGATAGTGCTGCTTCCTTTCTGCTGCCATTTATAATGGAATCTCGATAAGGTAGTGCTGGATTGGTCCGAAGGTACCGCATCATATTCACTCTGTGAGAACACTCACGAGAATGTGGTGACCCAGTGCATTCCGCTTCGTTTCGACTATCTGTGTAAATGTGGAGGGAATTTGGTATTCCATAACGTCTTCCAAGCATGGTGAATGTTTTCCTTTCAATAGCTTTCTCTTTTGGTTTGGAACTTCGGCAGCACACCCGCCTGAAATCAGATTTCTCAAGCTTTTCTATCTTGGTCCAATGAAGGCAAAGGCGATGGTGGAAGATGCGAAAGTGCATGAGCCTTTGAGTCTTGATCTTCAAAGCTTTGCTTGGTAGTAAAGACTTAATTGCTCATGAGTGTTGAGCGAGTGATTCGGAATGTTTTTAATGGAGGAAGGGACTAAAGCAGAGTTAATTTGAAAGTTCAAGGCTGCGTCATTCAAATTTGTAAGATAAGATTATACCTAAGTTTTGATCTATGAGTTTGGTGTTGATCGAAGACTTGGTGCGATATTGGCGTCGATGTTCGAATATCGGGAGATGTTGGAGACAGTACTCTCGGTTGGTATTAGATAAGGGGGCATCAACGTTCCCAGTCAAGGAATTGAGATAGCTGATGTGGTATTTTGAGATAGAGTGAAACCTTCTGATGATCTGGGATGGGAAAAGAAATCAATGTAATCCCATATTGTGAGACTGAGTGTGCTTTTCTTTGGCGATTGTGTGGTACTATACGCTCTAACCACTCGCAAGACATAGCTTTATATATCAATAGCTGCATACCTTCTAAGTCAAGAAAAACTGCTAGCTTTAGCATAAGGAATAAACTGTAATATGTCGTCGTGGTTTGTTGTTCATGACCAGCTGCATAGTCCTTTGAACCGAACCTTGATTGGACAGCATGGCGGCAGATGCACTCGTTGAAGGATATTCGATTGGCAGGGTGAATCCAATAGATTGAGAAAGAAAAGTCCTTAGATAATTATCAGTCCTCATTCTCAATGCCACAATTGGTACTATTACCTTAACAAATGTCTGCCTCGTTTGCCTCATGGTGAGTGAGTGGATGTGAGAAGCTGGAAGCATGATCAACCAGAGTTTGGAGCCAAGTGGCAGTGTAAATTCTTTCGCGCATCGTACTCGGCGATGGACAAAGGAGTACGAGTCCTTCTACCAGAAGAGTTTAGGTTTGTGTAATGATGCAGAAGAGCCGATGGGAAGAGCGTCTAATAGATCGTAGACTCCAACCTCATTACATGCAAGGATCTTCTGTACAAAGGAATGTGAAGGTCTTCGTAGTTCGTATCGTGATCTGAAATACAAATGGAAAAGGTTCCAAAACAAAAGATTGACCATGCGCGGAAGTCTTGGGTGTGAAAAACAGCACAAAATTATCAAGTTATAAGAGTCGGTTTTTTTTTTCAAGATCCGGAGCAGAGTCTAAATGATATACTTGATATTCATAACCAGCCCCCATCCCTCTTTGACTAATTGATCCTTCGGCCCCCCATAAATGCCATATTCGTTAGAGATATGCCACAACTCAAAGCTTCTCAAGTAATCCGGCGCTGATTATGGGGGCCGTGAAAAAAAAATTACAGGCCTTGAGATTCGGATGATGTGGGAACTTTGGGGTCGATGTCCCGTATCAATGTATCGATTTATCATTCTGACATACATGAAGCTGGGTGACATTCGGTTCGAATCAATAGATTCCGTATTTGGAGAGCTGCATCGAACAGGACTGAAGGCTTTTCGCAGGACTAAATGTATACGATTCTTGGCTAGTCTAAGAAATAAGACTTCTATCTGTTAATATTCATCAAGATCAGCTGTTAAAACGTAAATTTCTGCGGCTGCTGCGACAATTGAAATACCACGAGCAAGTTAATGCGACGTCCCCCTCCTTCAATCCAACCCCGCATCTTACCGTCCACAGCGTTTCATCTGATTTTTAGAAAGCGCTTAAGCAAAATCTATGATCCTTCAACTCCATTCCCCAAAACTCAAGTCAAGTGCAATTGTTTTCATGATAAGAACGAAAACAAGTTGATTCGAACTATCTCTTACTGTCGTTATAATGCTTCATTTATCATTAGCGCGGGACTACCGAGTTATTGGCTCATCAAATCGAACTATTTGGAGCCGTACCAATTGGTGGAAAGGCAGAACTACCGTGCGAATAGGAACAGGAAATTGCGATCACTGCACTTACTACAACCAATGATCAAATTTCCAAGAACAACACACCAAAGACTATCCCGTACCTCCCAAGGTTGAGAGGCTCAACGTTTGCGGGAAACATTCGGATGGTCGGGATGTGCCAGATACCTGGTACAGGGCGGCCATTGAACGAGCCATAGATTACGAATACCGTAAGAACTAATTACATGTGATCACTTTTCTACTGATATGGAGTATCCAGATGGCAGGATTGAATGTACATGGGAAAGACTTTTCAAACTTTTGATTAGATTGACCCATAACTCTTCAGATATCATTTATCGGGATTTCTGCATGTTAGGGATGCGGTTCTTTGTATCTTTTGGTTTACAAAGCTTGAAATTTATTATAATTATAATTTGATCATCAGAGAACTCAAGCTTTTGGATTTGAAATATTCCCAAACGTTGTGATTTATTGTCGTAAGTTTAGCTTTGGTTTGTTGCTAAATTGATTTGAGCCAGTAGGAATTGATATGCAAAAGTTGAAGTAGAAAGCGATCGTAAACCTATTCGATGTGACAATCGTACGTTCGTTCAATTTTGTTTCACACCTCCTTGATTAAAACAAGAGTACAGAAAAATTGTCTTTCTTCATGAGTTTCCGGTCATAGACCTTACAATCAAACCATCTCAGCCCCGGGATAACTTTAGGTGGCGCATCTTTACAATATTGATTCGGGCATCAATATAAATTGGGAGGGACAGGAAAATAGAATCCGAGATACTTTAGGTCTGCCTCGAAGGATTCCCATGGTTCGCCATAAACATATGCGAACCATAACAAAACCTCGTCATCAGGTGGCCCGAGTCTGTTGTAGGGATGGTTAAAATCGTGGCTCTGTTTGCAAAATACTAGAACTCTCAAGAATCATGTAATAAAAGATAGTTAAGATGATGAACGATAATTAAATGCGGCTATAAAAACAGTAAGGACTGGAAATGTTCGACGAAAAATAACAAGAAAGCAACGCAGTCTAGAGAAACAAATATTAAGCATCCGCTGATATCTTCCAAGTACACACTTTCTGATCGAAATTCCCATCTATAGCGTTGCAATTTCACTCCAAGATTGGTTTTGGTCTTCCCCATCAATACTAAAAACAAAAGTCAGAGATTGTCTTCGATATTTTACCCCTCAACGACGATTCTCACATTGAAGGACTGGGATTATTCAATGATTGATTGCTGACTCTGTGAAGTCGGCCTATTAAATGTATTAATTAGCGCGCACTCATCGCAGAACAAAATATTAAAGGATCTCGTTACCGCGAGGGGCAGGGCCAAGGACGGGTACTGCTAGGTATGACTCCAAGTTGTCTGCCATACATCCACGATTTGCGATATGATGACCGTGCGGCTGGTTGAGCGAATCCGTTGGTTCAACTCTTGAAGGCCTACTGGTATCGGAGTGGGAAGGTGGTTGTTCATGCTTGGCTGAGTCGCCATTGGGAAGTGCAGGCCAATCATCGTCCCAGCAATCATCGCGTACATATCGCTTCGGCTCAAGATTTAGTCGTTGCATCAACCTCAAATAGGATCCTTCATCCAAACGTGAATCGTATGCTCGTGCTCCAGGACCCGTGGTCATAGTTCTAAGGCTCCCGGGCGAGGCGAAGAAAACATGAGGGATTCGAAAATTACCTGGACCGCGGCGGAGGTATTCAACACCTCGAAACCAGTAGCGTGAGCGGAAATTTTGTGGAAAGTTCAGTCGCCCAGTACTCTCGGCGATCTCGTAATGTCCGTAGGGGGAAAAAATCGACGGTCCAGAGGTAGTAGCGCTCTGTGGGGTACCATGAGTCATCTAATCAGTATTCTGTTAGCCTTTACTAACCATCGACCAGTACTGTAAATGTCCTTACTTGAACAAATGATAGCTTAGGTATGTCTGGCATAATCCGATCGAGTCCATCATGTTTTCCAATGATCACTACAGGGTGATTGTGCCCCTCTTGCTTCAAAACACAACGTCCATTGTTTCTGTTTCGACAAGGATGGCCATTGACATCAGACCACATACATTTCAAATCCCCCGTATAGCTTGTACTTGGAAGGAACAGTATACAGCCAACTTCGATGTCCTGTGCCCGCACATGTTGGCGAGTTGTAGTCATACTAACGAAAGAGCAGAAGAAAAAAGATCAAGACGTTGACGCAGACAATATTAAAGAGAATTTTTATGGGGGAAAAAAAATTGAAATAGAAATAAAACACAATATTAAAATAATGAAGATCTTCCAGAGATGCTTGCTGAAAAAGAAAGTGAATATGAGAGTTCGAAGGGAAAGACTCATGTTCTTATAAATAAATGTGAACTTCCTGTGGAAATAAGAAGATGGAAATAGAACCAAATTTCTCCACCCAACTCAAAAACTACAAATTCTAAGACGGTGGACTAAATTCCATCAAAGAAGAGTCTCACAAATTCTTCGGCACCGAATGATCTTACAGAGACTTCCGTGAGACATTACGAGGCCTTTATCAACAGGTGTTGGTGGAAAGACAGCAACAAAGAAAAGTCGTTCAAAATCTTAATGGGCTCTATAGCTGAGGCATAATTTAGCCCTTATAGTTGTGAGTATCAATATTTAGTATTGATGTTCCAGACATCGGGCGACATTGTGGTTGAGGTCAGTCCATCAATTTCTGTTTGACCTCAAAACCTACTGTCAATGTCTATCATTCGATATCGCGTAAACACTAGTTTACTTCTCAGATTGAGTTCAAAAGAAACTATTTCAGTTGAAGCAGATAGAATTATAGGATCAACTCAGTTTGAGCAGCGGAGAAGGGTTTGATTTTTTCCTGCTGCGAGGTGTGAAGCCTGAGCTTTAATGACTTGTCCACAAAAGGGAAAGGCGCGCGGTAACGGCGGCCGCAAAGCGTTCCCACAAAGCCACTTCCGCTTATGCATAATAAAATGCTGTGTGCATTGGTTCGCATGCATAACGACCTCATATAAACACAGTTATACTTGTGTACTACTGGGTCGCATGCCCACAAATGTTCCTAATCCGATATAAAAGGCCTCGTGAGTTATCTTGCACATAGAGATCTAATGCAGGAATGAGTTAAGTGATAATGCTTGCGATCAAATTGAATCTTCATTTTGAATCATACTATTAGAAGCTCTGGGGTCAATCTTACCCCTTTTCTTTATTTCGCCTACGCAATATCTTAACTTCTCGGTTTACATCTACATACCGGCACACGAAATCATGTAGAATGCAGTTGTGAATTCTGGGATCACCATCCATCAAGTGATATCATTTTTGGCTAATGAATTCCTTTTTTTTCTTCTCTCTTTTATACATTTTACTCGACGCAAGATCGAGAGATGCAAATGAGAGTGCCATCTTTCTAGTGAATATACACGCCAACCATAAATGGGTGTCACAACAAACAGAGATTCAATAGAAATCCATAGAACGATACAAAGATTTCTGAATTAGTGGCCAGCGTGCTTCTGTCTACAGATAGATGGGAAATTATTATTAATTCCTCAATTTATCTCAGAAGAGGCCGAGAAATCATCTGTAGACAAAATACACATTTGCCTGTAAAGTCTCCTATTTTCTTTATTGAGAATTATTTTTCAGACTCGATTACCGGAACTGATCTTGCAGTCTATCTGGATGTCTGATATTTTCATCGAATATCTAGAGGAAATCAATCAATGAGCATGCATGTATGAACTAAGCAGGTTGGCTCTTTGATTTGCTTGGCTTGAAGTAGTAATTCGGCCGAGATTCGAGGGTAGGGAGGTGAACGAGTATAGAATCTCTAAAATATAGGAGTTTTTTGTGTGTTCTTATGAATAGGAATATACCGTAATTGAATGAGGATAACGTTGGAAGTCTTTGCAGTTGAAGCTCTACTAATGCTGAAATTTGACATTCTTCGCGATAAAATTCCTTCCTGTATAACTTCTTGTATTTTATTGGTTGATTAACTATAACCTCATGACGTGATATTGATTGCAGCCCACATAACAAGAACTTATGAAAACTGTCATTGCCGGGCATTTCTCATCCGATAAATAATGTCTAAGATGTCATCTCGATTCAAAGGCTCTCAAGAACTAGAAATTCTTCCCATAGCATCTTGCCTTTAAGCGGTCTTCATCAAAGCCCCACGCGATTCATCCCACCTTGCGAACGAACATGAATGTAGGAGCATGGTCTCAGGACTCATCTTCTCACACCACCAGCTGTTCTTTCTCAATTCTAGATATTCACTATTATCTGCGGGATGAATTATTATACTGTCCCTTTGAAGCCGAACTTCAATCAATTTCTGCTATTTGTTTTGTTGCTCAGCTCATAGATAACCACCTACCTCATATGATACTCCATGATTGCTCACTAATAAGCCCAAGTTCCTGCCAGCAATCATGAAATCTGAAATCCAATCAGTAAAACAATCGAATTTGAGTAGCAACGGTCCAATAATAACGAAGTCAACCCTACTAAGTAATTTATCAAGAAACAAGGAGGGAGGGTCTCAACAGCTCAAGAAGTTTCGAAAAAGCTGCTGACAATTTATCTATTGACGAATCCAAGAATCTTCAACCTATCATTCAGTTTTAGTAAAGTCATCTCACCGCCAAGTCCAGCCGACTCATACAATTCCGAATGCAAGTGAATTACTTCACTTCATTCCCTTTGAAATCATTAACTCATACATCGCGGAGAGAAGAGATATCCAGAACATACTTCATATCTTTCAATTCTTTCTATTCATAGCGCCTTCCATTCGAATATCGTCTGCGCGAATGCAATAAAGATATCAATTGCAGAAAATTTCATCTGCGAGAAATTTCGCGATTCGCGATTTCGCTCGATGAAGTGAAGGAACCTGTTCTTATCACTCATCTCTGAAGTTAAGAAGCCCTTATGCATTGATTTAGAAAGACTTTCTTACTCATGAGTACTTATTTCCAAGTTTGTTTGTTGGTAGTTCAAACTGATATTTCGCAGTCTCGGTATTGTAGATTGGCATGTTGTCAAATTGTAGGCCAAGTTCTTGAACATCACTTTGGGATTTTCATGCTTCTCAGCACTTCTTATAGAAAGCCCAAGAGGAAGAAATGATGGCTGGAACATGGGTCGTAACCAGGCCATGATCCGTTCCCTTGGGTACAGCCACCGAATGGAAAGACACCCGACAGGCTTGAATTTGTCCCCCGTATCACGTGTCTCGCTTACCTTACTTCGTTGACAGTTGGGGAAGATAACTTTTTTCTGAACGTCAGCACTTAGGTTATACCAAAGAGCAATTATCAACCATATTATGATTGAAATTATAAAATCATACCAACCAACCTCAAATATAGTATGTGTAGCCATGTCCTGCCATATTTGAATCCTACGTTCTCCACTTTTTCTGATTGCCGCTTGGATAATTGGTCCTTACGTTTCCGAACAGTACTTTGAAATGATCAAGCACAAGAAATATCATTAGTAGATTTTCAATCCTGAGGATGCAGACTCGAAATTACATTGCAGTGTTCTCTTCTTCCTTGTCTCCCGAATTCCGGAAATTCTGAAACATAGGAAAGCCTTACAAGTAGATGAAACGGGGTCTTTTTTGTAATGACCGGGGGTCAGCGGCTAGAACCCACCTGTCTGACCGATCCACCACGCTATCTTCCCTCAACTCTAATCTTAATTTCTTGCAATAGCACATTTGTATTTTCATATGTTAGCATTTTCTTTGGCGCATTCACTCATAGCAACGTGTTAGGGTGTATCTCGCTGCACGAAAACACGCTCGTTTCGTGCAAACTAGTCTGCCAACACAACCATCTGGTCTTACGGAGCATTTGTTATAACTGCAGCCGATTTATTGATAAAGTGAGTTGTGCGATTTTGAATTGAACGGGCAACGTCGAGGCTTGTTCGGAGAAGTGGGGCAAAACTGCGGAGCAGAATAACGCTGTAATGTCAAATCACAAATCCATTGCGTTCGCTTCAAGCAAAGCGGTAGACCATTCATACATACCAACGGGGCTTTGAGCTTGGCTGTCGCACGGGTAAGCGTGGGGAAATACCTGGAAGTACTTGTATCATAGTGTAGGTAATGTCCATGTGGAGCCGTATTCTTCATTTCGTAAAACGGGTGTGGCGTGCTAAATTGCGTTGCAAATTTTTAAGCAAGGCTTCTGGGGTCGAAAGGCAGATTCTGTAGTCGGTTAGTGGTTTTCGTACATAGTGGTTGACCTATGGGAATGATATGGAGAAGTTGCCATAGAGGTAGAGCCTTGGAGGAAGATCTGGATCATGATTTAGGCCCAGCAATGGTTGGAAGTGATGACAATTATCGACCTGCTTTGTATAAGTACACGTTGTGAGAAATTTGGAGTAAGAGATGTCATTAGCAATCAGTCAAATCTAGTGGTCGAGACAAATGTTGACATACCAAAACCAAGACACACACACAAACTGCCATTGCAAAACAAATCAGATAACCTGGTTAGGCTTTGCGTTACATCTTGTGCCTTCCAAATCTCATCGATCCTTTCTCCGATAAGGCTTTCATTAGCAGACAGACAGCAATAAATCGACTGGGGGTGGATCAACTACACATCATGACATCAGTTGAAAGTGAATCCTACGTCCAGAGAAACTGCAGCTTCCAAGACAATCGCAATCAGTATATTCGAGATACCGGTCTTCGGAACTTGAACAATAGCCCCGAATATAATTCAAGAACCTACACCTCACAAACGTATATCCCACCTCATTATACATCATCAGAGCATAGCTCGCCCCCAAACACAGTCTTCACTGATGTTTCCTCTCACATCCACGATGAGGATCTCAATATATCAGAAGAAAGACGTCGAAATACTAGAAATAGTCAACACGATGCCATTGTAGCACAAAATAGCATTACCACCTCCTCAGAGTACAATGACTACTTGTGGCAAGGCACCTCATACCCAAGCCTTGACTATGACACCGAATCAATCTACAATTCACATATTGACCCAAGTCTTTGGAATTGTACTGCCATGAACACTGGACCAATCGCACCACTTCCCGTTGTTACAGAAGCGCAAAGCATTCTCAACGAGCACCGTTTCAAGCAGTGCTGGGATATTCCGCCACTAGAAGCAGCAAACTCTGTGCAGATCAATGAATACGCCGGAGTAACCTTCCCATCATGCATGGTTGGCCAAGCTAGTATAGCGAGAACAGCCAGCGTCAATTCATTCCGGTCATCCTCATCAGATTTTAAAAGAGAACTGGAACGCGCCTCACCATTCTTCGACATGAGTGAGTCTATGACGATTAGGTCTCAGTCCCCAGGTGAAGAATCTTATAGATCTGAATCGACTTCTGGATCACCTGCACCAAGCATCGCAGAGAAATCATCAACTCGCTCAAGGAAACGGAGGCTTCAAGAGAGGAATGATCCAAATCATGTAAACCGTCGTGGAGATACCGGAAGGAGGAAGTTAGATCGATACTTTTGCACTCGGTGTAATGCTTTCCCCAAAGGCTGGAAGCTACCCGAGGACTTGCGAAAACACAATCAAGGACATCATACTGAAACTGGATTTTACTGCGCCTCTGGAGTGGATGAGAACTGTGCCTATTGGAGTTCTCAGGAGTCGAGATATATTGACCATCTGAAGGTAGAGCATGCTAGTTCACGCATCTCACAGGAGATTATCCAGAAATATAACACCATAAATGGTATTACGCTCGATGGTAGTTACATGTGCAGGATACCAGGTTGTGAGAAGGTTTATAAAAAGGGCAGAGCGAGGTCGTCGAGACAAGCATGAAGAAAGGAAGGCCGCACACGTTTTTAAGGGGGAACTGGGAAGAAGCGTAGATCCAGCCCATCTATTCCCAAACAGTCATGTGGGATGCAGGAATGATGAGACGAAAAGACATGTTGATATGGGACAGTACGATTTTGCTCATTCTGGTGCAGCCAGGGAATCTGAGGGTATCGGCCAAAGTAACCGTCAATTTGAATAAGGTGATAGAAACATCTCTCCAGTTGTAAATAAAAAAGGACTAGGTTGTAAATCTATAGTATACAGATAATATGAGATAATACCACCAATCAACGGCGATCTCTTTGAATTTTGTGAAATAAAAGAGTTTGATGACAAGAGTGAATGATTTTAAGATGATATCATATGTTTTGTGGAGGAAGAATAAATAAATAAATGTCAAAATGTGACTGCCTAAAATAGCCACCTGGTCCACCTGTTGGACCCTCTGGTCGAGGCGCCTGAACAACGCCCACATAGACAGAAATGGCAGACCACTCAAAAAAACTCATGCCTTGGAACAATTGGTATTTCGATGTCCAAATTACGAAAACAATATAGAGCCAAAAAGACAAACATTCAAATTTATAAGAATTAAAAAACCCTCAAACAAGACCGTTCATTTTAATCTCAACTCGAGATGTTGATTGTTGGATCTTATTTCGAATGTTGAATGCAGATCGTTATTTTTGGGAGCAAGTTGGTTGTCCAGATGGAGCCATATATCATCGTGCGCCTTGGACTAGACCCAAGGACAATATTACTGTGTTGCCTAGTTTTTTTAGATACCACCAAAGAGTTGGCCGAGAAAGTGGTTGATAAATTTTCAAATTGCAGCCTCGAAATTCTAGATTAATAGGATGTTTGTTTTGTGCTATATGAACTATATAAATGAGGTATACTATCAAATACAAAACATTACTATCTCTATCTCTATCTCAATCTCACCAACCCATATTTTGGCTATCAAAAATATTCTCATCAAGAGAAGCTGTACTACATAATCAAACTTAGTTTTGGCAATATCAGCGAAATGACATCAGAATCGTCTCGGCCCAACTCTAGGAAGTCTGATGGCAAATCTAAAAGATCTAGTGGTGTCGGGTCGAAGCACTCAGAAATAAAACCAGCAGAATCTGACAGACCTCGTCTCGGGTCGATCCGCTCAAGAAACGAGCGCAGAAGATCGGTTGAAAGTCTTGAGGCAAAAACTCGAGATCTTGATATCGGGGGTCGTGGCTCACCACAACCACCAGAGAGTCCGGGAGATCCCATCGATCCTTCCATGGATCCTAGTTTACGAGATTATGAAGTAGCTTCAAAGGCGATCGAGAGGTTTAAGGATAATAAAAGACATGACTCCCATAAATCAGGAGGCGAAGAAGAGCCGAGAAGACGGCGGAGGTCTTCGAGACACCATGATGAAGAAGGGCGAAGCTCAAAATCTCGCCTCGTAAAAAGAACAACTACCACTCGAACTACGTTTGACAAATTACCATTCTTAGCTAGAAAAGAAAAAGTTGTAGATAAATTCGAATACGAAAAGAGCTCGGACAACCGTGATAACGACAGGAATCTTCCAAGCTCAGACCGAAGATATGCAGATTCCAGCAGACGCTCGTATCGGAGCGGAGAAGAAAAAAGGACTGAGAGAAAAATAAGAGAACCCTTTCTAGCAGGAAGTAATGTCTCGAGCCCAAAGACAAGTGTCTCCTCTGAGCCAAAATCTGCTACCAGCTCAAAACACAGTGCCCACACCCACAGAAGCGCAAGAAGCGCAAGAAGCGCAGTCAATGATATCCAGGCACCACAAGCAGGTTCCCACCATCCCAGTGAATCGCCAAGTTCTCGAAAATCACACAAAGAATCTGATGATGAGCCCAAAGCCTTGAGTGAGGGTTCCGCCAGTGGGACTTTACATGGTAGACTCCCTCGAAGCAATACTTCAGCTTCCGATCGTCAAAGTTTGAGCGAGAGAAACTTGAACGACATCTACAAACCTGACAGAGGTGGCAAACGCACTAGCACCACTGCTCCTTCCGATCATGGAACAGCGGAGCGTGCTCAAACAGGTTATGGGAGAGGCGACCATAGTAATCCGCCTTATTTTTATGAGGATGAAACAAATAAATCTGATATTTCAGCATCGACAAGCGGCACAACTCGTGGTAGAAGAACCCATAAGTCGTAGGGCATGCGAACACAAGTTATAAAACCGAGTCCGATTCACAGATTAGTCCTTTGGCGGTAGTGCAAACTGAAAATACACAAAATATCAATGACCTTTGGTTATCTTGAATCTCATCAAAAGCATCATTTTCTGATAAAGACTGAGGGAGACAATGGAAGTGTTGAAATCAGGAAGAGGTGGTCAAACCCAGTCTTTTTTCTTCGCCGACCTAGAGATTGGTACCCAAAGAATGTAGGCTATGTGTGCTTACACTTAGGATATGTAATAGCCAGAGCATCTGAATTAGAATGAGAAGATTGAAGGTAAAGATAAGGAAGTACGTAAAAGATTATTTTGGGCGTTTTGGGCATTTTGGGTAGCAACTGAATTTGTCTCTCGTCGTTTTTTTCTGGTTCTTCTAACAATGTTGTGTTAAGTGCTTGTTTTCCACCCGGCGATAGCATTTCGCTTCCATGCAAATAATTCATGCGGTCCATAGCTGACGATCCGCAATGGAATGGACAAATATCATTGTGAAGATGTAACTGTGCATGGTATCCGCTACATTGTGAATTGCGAACTGTGAAAAGACCAAATGATACCATATTAACCAGACTTTGAAACGCGTACATCTCTATGTAGCACCGAAAATACAGAATATTCGAACGAACATATGAGGCGGAAGAATTGGTACTCGAAACTGGGGATTTGAATTTCGATTCGGCATATTTTTCAATGGAAATGATGATGGCAACCATAAATCGGCACTGCCAATAAATGAACAAATAGATAGATGTGTCTTGCCCAAGGGTCACTTGAACCACAGGCGAGAGCTGAACATAAAGCTAATATCAAATTTAAGATGTAAATGTCAACCAGAGGCTGTAGAGGCGTACATAATAGTTATAAATACATAATATTGGCAGCATAACGTAGAATGTCATAAGAACGTTTGTAGTGCTTCGCAATCGCAATTCCATGCGAAATTTTGGACATATTCCTACGTTATACATAACGCTCATGCTGACAATGCATTTCCGTGTTGTGTTTTATACACGCAATGAGCAACACAGTACAGCCTTTTACAGACTCATAGTACCTTGTGCTATATTGCCAACTCTTCTCTATTCCACGCCTGCTGCCTCCACAAATAGTTGATCAAATATATCGTTTTGTAACATCCTCCCCATTGTACCCCTCACTCATCCCTCTTTGCCAACTCAATCCGTCTTTGCCTGTTCTCCCGCGCTGCTGTTCTCGTCGGTCCCCATCTAGCTTTCACGGCTTCCAGCTTCTCTCTTTCCAAATCTCTCTTCTCTGCCGATGCTTCTGTAATCATGCCAATAAATATCGACGAACAATTGAACTTCTTAGCCAATTGCAGTCTAGTCCATTTTTCTGGTTCCTCCGCCCTCAGCCTCCTGATCTCTGCAACATCCTTTTCACTCAAATGATGCCTCTCATACTTCAGCTGCTTCGGGTTGACTGGAGGTGGTAATCGATGTGAGAGAGCGTTGAGTCGTTCTTGGGTGATTGCTAAAAGCTTTCTTCTCTTGTCATCTTTGGGGAGGAATTTTAGAGGGGTGTGGAAAACGGATGGAGAGGAGGATGGCGGATTGAAAATAATGTGATCTTGTGGCGCGCCATTTGATGGAACAAAATTTGGATCTGGTTTGACATTTAAACGTTGCTTAGAACGTCTGTAAGAGGACTCATGTCGACGAGCCGTGGCGTTCAAAGACAATAGACATTGAGGCTTTGCAGAGAGGAGGTTGGCGACGGGCCGACGTAATATTCTGAGATCCATCGTTGTATGAGGGTTTTGATTAAAGGTATAGAGGTAAAACTCAATAGTTCCTCACATTTCATCCCGCCGGCGTTGGAAATTACTTGCACCGATATCGATTACTAAGCGATAAGTTAAACCCCAAGCAAAACTTCCAAGCCTCGCGACATGGCTCTTTATCCCAAATCATGTTCATTTCGAGGTTTCCAACTTTTTGATTGTCAGGCGACTTGTTTTCATGAAATTAAAAAAAAATGCTTACCTAGTAATAATTATGTTGGTGATCACAACATCAACAAGGAATATCCAAAATCCTGCATTAAAAAGCATTGAATTCGAAATCCTTCCCCTCCTCCTAAAGGGCACGTATAACACACAGTTACACACCTCGTTCACAACTGGAATCGCCAGAAATCACAAGCAATCACAAGGAAATCCAATCACCCCTCTTCCCTCTTCTATGACTATTGCCGCTTCCTGGACCACCCATTCTTGCAAAGAAAGAGAGGTAGGTGAAATTATCTTATGATTACAATTACAATTACAATTACAATCACAATCACAATTATCATTACAATCATAACTGTCTAGATTGTCATGCCTTTGAATGTGTCTATTGTTGGACTGTCATGATCTTATATACTCGTATAGGAATCCATCTTATCTTTCTTTCACAGTTCCATCTTTGACGTTGAATCTTGACCCTTCTTTGTTCATATCATTTCAACTTTTCTCACAAGTTTGGGCAATTCTGATCTTCATTGTCCGGAAGCAAGCTGATAATTCCCAAAGATAAACTGCACGCGTAAGTCTGCGACCCTCCAAAGTATTGGTTTGATTAAGGCGCATACGCCAACATCCATTATGATGCGATTGGGTTTTCACAGCGCATATCCATTTATTTATTTGCTCATGTTCATCTGACACTTCGCAACAGCACACAAGAGATTCGACTCGACTTACTTCCTCGATATCCTAAAAACAAATCCGAAATCCTTCTATCAATCGTCATCATGAGCGCATCGGAATCTAGTACTTTACATGCGAACACGCCCGTCCCCACAGGCCAGCAATCTATAACCACGTCAAAGGCCCCTCTACTAGGTGAGGGATTCAAAGTACCAACGAACCAAAAATTATCGAATCCCAGTGAAAACAGTGAGGTCGATGTGGATGCGAGTGATTCTGCGAGCGGAACCGCAAAGTCGGGAAAGCGAAGATTGTTTGGATTTGGAAAAAAGAAGAATGATGAAAAGGTAAAGAGCAAAAAGAAGGATGATGGAACCCTTGCTGGCAATGCACCATTGATCCGCCCTCTCCAGCAGACGCAGATGACGAACTCTCCTCCACGATCAAGCTATCCATACCAACACCCCTCATCACCACCAAGTCGAAAATTGTTCTCATCTTCCCCACGTGTAGTGTCACCTGCAGGTTCGCAAATCTTCGAGCGTGATGTGCAAGAAAGTGCTATTCAGCCAAATTCTCCCGCAATTCCGTCGCATATACAGACAGAGGATTATATTCCACCAGTCCTAGATGCATCGTCGCAAGCTATTACCAACAATGACATTGATCCGGATACAGTGGAAATCGTTATGCACTCTTCTCACCAGCCAGCAGTAATGTCAATGAGTGGTATTAGTAGTAGCGAACCTGGCGCGTCAATGTGGACAGACGACTTGGTGGCCCACCCCGACAAGGACGATGCGGCATCAAACTACGGTGCTCTTGATAGTACAGACATCCGGAGATTAAGCTTCATTTCATTTGCAGATGTAGTGCAATCAGAGCACGCAGAACATGCTGGCAATAGAGACTCAATCTATATTGCAGGACTCAGTGCGTTGTCATCACCAGGTATATCACCAGGTGTGAACCGTTCACCTTCGCCTGTGCGATCACCAGTATCGTCGTTTGGATTCGGAACATCACCCCCGACTAGTAAGTCAGCTTCCGTGAAAGGTGTTGAGCTTTCGCCAGTTCGAAAACAAACTGGTCTCGCCAGTCCGACTTCACTTCACTCTCCTACAAATGGCGGCGAATTGACCATAGAGACAATGTCACAGGCTGTGAAGAAGACCGGGAGCGGCGATCTTAGTGGCGGCCTTCGCAGTTTACCTTTGAGCCCAGTAAGCTCTGATGGCCCGGATACGCCATTCAGATAAGCTAGTCATTGGATCCGAGGTTGAATTGTTGTGTGTGATGGATGTTGTTTACTATTCAGGTACTGCTTGCTGTACATTCGGCGAGTTTTATAGGGTTGGAACAATCGCAGTTTGGGACAAGGGGAAGGGGTATGGATTGCTGTGTATATGAGATACTCGATTGAGCGAACAGTAACTGGTGTTCCGGATTAGGACTTATCTTCCTCTTTATTTTATTTATTTATTCGATCTTGGGATGGGTAGTTTTTTACGACTGACGTGGAGCAATTTGAATTCTTAGTCGCAGTTATAAGATGATTGATGATATGATGTGCCGTTATAGTTGTCCGTGTGTTTCAGTTCATGTGTTAAACTAAGGCTCCTCACTGGGAGAAGGGGGTCGAGGTAATACTCTGATGATATGAGTCGTTCACTTATTAATTGAGTTGCTAGGTATTACAGATATTGTAAGGGATGAATTATATTGTATGAATACGTAAGCATTACTGATATATTAGCCCTACCAGATACTATTTCATCTGTCTGATGTCTCAAATTGAATGAGCAGCGATTAATATGATAAGGATAAATGTATAGAGTCAGAGAGGGGGGTTTGTAGATGAAAATGATATGCGATACAAATTTGTCTTTGAATACCTAGTACCTAGGAATGCAGTTGATCTATGGCATCTCATCCTTCTTTCCCCTCTATCAATCCCATTACCGGAGAATGCCCAACTTTCATGATGTTTTCTCCAGACCAAGGTTCTTTTCCTTTGCTTCCAAAATCCAGCGTTGAGAACCTGAGCAATATCTGCCTACTGTAGTAGCTAGGTCGGTAGGTGTACCGAGGACCTAGCATCTTTGATATGCCCACAAAAACGCTGGATGTATTGTAATTTGTGGGAAGTTGTAGAGTTGTTGTTGTTGTATTCTTAAAATGTGATTTGGAATGATGGAAGTGAGTACGATAGAGATGTGATGAGAATTTTTGAGGGGCATTGGATTCGGGTGTTCATGAATGCTTACCTTTACGTCTTACATGTTACATACCTACCTAGTACCTTGTCGATGGATTGACGTATGAGAATGTCTTGGGAAGAATCGGATGATTGAATGGGTAGATGTGAATTTCTATATCTCATGGACTCGTAGATAGTAGATAGTAGATAGTACTAGGTAAATACTAGGTAGTATAACAACGTCGACCCGTTGAATGACTGTTGAAACTTGAAACATCCGTAGAATGCTAAAGTATTAATTAAGATTTCATCCGACGACTGTACCATACATGACTTTCATCATTAGCCGCGATAATACCACCCGTTGCAATCTTGGAGATATCTACGATTGATTGGTACCCAATGATCACCAGTCCCTTGTTTTCCCTCGTTTCCAGAAGTTCCCCAAATATACTTTTTCATTATCATTGATCATTCCTTTCCTCACTACCGGATATTGAGCAAGGATTCTCTGGATGGTGCTCCGATACAACCGAAAAAGCACAACTCACTCATACTTATCAAAATGCTTCATCGTAACATCGTCAAAAGCTCATAGCTTCGTACAGACTTCGTATATGTCCCCTCCTCGTAGCACTTTACAATCAGAATACAACACGTACCTTGTTCATCATCACCTTCCCCCCAATTCTTTTCTCTTGTCCTTTCGCTTCACTCACAATCCATCATCTACTGCATCCCTGAATTCTCCATACATGTCATCTCCCCAGTCAATTGGCTCCCAACCTGAATCTCTCTATATAAGGCGACAGGCAATTGCATTTCTCTTCTCCTCCACTTAAGGCTTCGGGCCTTATTTGTTCCCTTTATCTTACTACCTTAAGCCTGGTCCTAGACTTGAATATTCCACCGCCCCCCAGCAGCCCAGCTCGACTAGTAAACTATCAACCCTTGAAAGCTCCGACCTCTATACTCCAAAGGGAAAAATTCGACCCGCTAAAGTAGATTCGACGGAATCTTGGTTAAACTTGTTATATATGGTATATGGCTAGTGATGATGAGGACCTCTCAAATTTCGCAATCGGTATTGGGAAACCATAAGGCACATTTGGAGCGGACTCGATTCTATCGGTAAAAGGAAAGGAAAATAAAAGAAAAGCTTTTGTCATTCAATCAAAAGATCTACGCTATTTGCGCGGTACAAAGACTGGCAGAAGCTTCACAATCAATTGCGCACTTCTTAGACTTCCCCACGTACGCCACAGCTTGTATCGAAGATCTTCAATTCAAATTGTTCAGTACGAACCCATGCCATCTTCGACAACTCTGCTTGCATGCTTCCGCACATATCAAGACTCGAATACGCGAGCTCGTCAAATTCTCTAACATCACCGGGGCCGCCATCTTTTTGAGGTTTGGATGGTTAGGCATGGTTTTCTAAACCTCCATAGGAAGGAATCGCGGGATGAGTCTATTGTCACCAGGTATGGATACCAGAGATTACAATGGGACCTCTGGAAGGGAAAACACTGTGCGGGACTGGGGAGAAAATGCGGCAGAGACATTGGCACGAAGGTTCTCTCCGAGTGAGCCTCGACGATCGCGGGGTCCTGGCTTGGATACAACTATTCGCACAGTTACGCCCGAACCTGTCGAGGTAACAGACGACAATTTAAGCATACTAGAGACTCCACCTAGACTCTTTCCATCCGTGCAGACGTCGCCGCGATCGATACCTGGCGGAGAAAAGCCTAGAGAGCGCCGTCAAGGCCTTGTTTTCCATGATTCATATAGCAGTGACTCGATTGACAAGCCTCCTCAGAGTACCATGAGTCTTCGATCTCGACCTCGAACATATACCGTAGATGCTACCACACGAAAAAGATCAGGATCGGGAGGCGCGCCTAGGAATAGACAGCGAATTGGCTCAGTACATTCCACAAACTCATCATCTTTCCATGACATCGAGCCACGACCCGATACTAATACTGCCATCGGATATCCATCTACTTCTAACAGAAACACATTGACTAAATCCAACTCTCTCAAGAAGGAAAAGGGGTCGGGTAGACGATTGGTTAAAAAAGCATTCACGGCCGACTTCGCCATTTCAAGCATTTTGTAGATACTACCTGCGTCGATTCTCTTCCAGATCCTGTGCCTACTGGGAAACACTAAGAAAATATTGGGTCTTATGAAAAGTTTACGCGGCCGCATGAGGGGTGAAGTCGAGTATCAGACAGTAGAGACCGCGGCAATGGTATCGAGGGTGTGTGTTATATGACAACGTGAAAGGCTCTTTAATGTATGAGGACGACGACAAAGGACCTTTTCACATTGCTGTAGCAACCGACCTTCGAGGATGTAGGGTCAAACCGATCATATACTCATTGGAACGACAAGTAAGGTGTCTGGAGATATTAAATCCAAGTCTCGGCTTAGACCTTCGTCTTTAACCAACGGACCCTGCTGAATTTGATCACTGGTTAGCAGCGATACTACCATGGCAACAGATCAGGCTAGCGTCATCTTTGACAAGTCCGCTGAAATCTCCAACAGGACATCACGACGACAGACGCCCAGTGGATCGACGAGGTTCTGCGTATAGTAATAAAGACTCAAATATTATCAAAGTAGCCAAGCTCCTATTGTGGGACAAAGGGCCGCCCCTATCCCCCGAGTCCATTATCACTCGTCGTTCAACGCGACATCTGCGTAACTCTGGACAACAGTGGCGTAGGATATCTTGTATACTTCAGGATAATGGCGATCTCAAGGTTTTGACCGAAAATGATGCTTTATTGCTTTCAGTCGTTCAGCTCCCACAATTGTCCAGAAGCGCAATCCAAAAGCTTGACAAGTCAGTACTGGGAGAAGAATATTGCATTGCCATATTTCCACAGTACACTTCTACATCCACAGACTTGTCCATATTTAGACCTATCTACCTAGCATTAGAATCACGATTGGTTTTCGAAGTTTGGTTATGTCTCTTGAGGGCTTTCACAATTCCAGAAATATATGGACATGATACCCCACAGCAAATAGAAGCTGATGCCGAAGGTGAGGAATTGCCTGAGGGATATCCTTCTTCAACTAACGATATGTTCCGAATTGAGAAGTCTCTCAACATGCGAATCGTTGAAGCTAAATTTCGGAAGTATGGCATAAGGGCAGAGTTACCCCAGTATGGCAGGCACTCGGTAAGGCCAGAGCCAGATGGGATTCTCGGTGACTACTTTGCAGAGGTCATGCTTGATGGTGAGGTCCGCGCCCGTACAATAACAAAGCTGGAGACCAGAAATCCATTTTGGCGAGAAGAGTGCGAATTCACGGATCTGCCTCCTTATTTACCAAAACTATCGATAGTTTTGAAACGTATGGAAATGTCACAACTAACCGTGCAAGGATTCTTGTCAAGTTCAAGCGTTCAAGTGGCGGACCAGCAAGTAGAAACTATCTGTGGAGTCGTTGAAATATCGGTTGACAAGCTCGAGCGAGGCAAAGATAATGAGGCATGGTGGCCAATCTTGGATCAAAATCAAGAGCAGGTTGGGGAGATGCTAATGAAACTTCGACATGATGAAGTTGTTGTACTTCTTGCCAAAGATTATCAACCAATCTCTGAGCTTCTACACAATTTCAATAATGGGTTGACACTTCAAATTTCTCAAGTCATACCCAATAATCTCAGGCAATTATCTGAAACACTGCTAAATATATTCCAAGTATCTGGAAACGGATCAGAATGGCTAAAAGCCCTAGTTGAAGACGAAATCGATGGCATTGGAAAAGAAGCGCCAACAAAACGACTTAGATACAGCAGGAGAATTGGCTCAAACGAGGTTTCCTTCACGTCCATTGAGCGGGAACAATCGGTTCGAGACATGGGGAAAAGTCTTAATACTGAAGCGAATCTTTTGTTCCGAGGAAACTCCTTACTAACGCAAGCTCTTGATTTTCACATGAGACGAGTTGGGAAGGAATATCTCTCTGAAATCTTGGGAGATCAAATTCGTACCATCAACAACATTAACCCTGACTGCGAAGTCGACCCATCTAGAATTGATAACGACGGTGCATTTGAGAAGAATTGGGTCTCGTTGATTGCTTTAACTACTGACGTCTGGAGATCAATAGCAGATTCTGCAACTCGATGTCCACCAGAATTGCGACAAATCTTCAAGTACATCCGTGCGGTTGCTGAAGATAGATACGGAGATTTTCTTCGTACTGTTGCATATACTAGTGTCTCTGGATTCATATTTTTACGATTTTTCTGTCCAGCGATTCTCAATCCAAAATTGTTTGGACTACTCCCAGATCATCCCCAACCGAAAGCTCAGCGAACATTCACCTTGATCGCAAAAAGTTTACAAGCCTTGGCAAACTTATCAAGCTTTGGTCAAAAAGAGTCATGGATGGAACCGATGAACAAATTCCTTTATCAGCATCGTCAAGGTGTAAAGGATTTTCTCGATTCTATTTGTGCTATTGCCCCGGATCGTGCAACGTTTGCGGTTCCTGCGTCGTATTCCACGCCCATTACCATTCTCGCAAGACTACCTCCCACTTCTCGTGAAGGATTTCCTTCTTTGCCGTATTTGGTTGACCATGCACGAAGTTTTGCCGACTTGGTCAAACTATGGCTAGAAGGAACCTCGAATTCCATGACTCAATACTTTGAAGGTGATCTTGGTGAGTTCAACGAGTTGTGTAAAGCTCTCAAGAAGCGCACCGATGAATGTATACTCAAAGCCGAAGAGTACGGTGATCGCGTTGCCGATCAGGTTTCTCTCCAATTCGAAGATATAGTCGAAGGTCTCCAAAATACACATTTTCACGAATCCCCTCAAATTCTCCCACTCCCTCCAACACAATCGTATTTTCAACCAGATTCAGAACATCAACATCCTATCCTCCCACCTCCTTGGCAGGACTACTCAATGAGTAATAGCAATGCCACAAGCATAAATAATACAAGCCATACATATCTTCGCGCTCCCGGTTCCGCAGGCAGTGGAAGTGAAAGAATAGGTACGATCTCTACCATGAGTAGTAAAGATAAAGAAAAGAAAGAGAAACAAAATTTCTGGGAGGCAACTTTTGGGAAAGATTCAAAATATCAGAGACCTTATGCACCACCGCCAGATCACAGTGCACAACAGTTAGGTATGCAAGCATCTAGTCCGCCAGGGGGAAAGGGGCCAGGGGGACTTGGACTTAATAGACAGGAAAAACAAAGTAGGAGTTTTCTAGGTGGATTGCGGAGGAAGGGAAAACAGGAACCCAAGAGTCAGGGGAGTGGAAGTAGTAATGATGGGGGTTTCATAATGGCACCGGCACCTGCCACAGGGATGGGGATGGGTATCCCAGAGGGGATGAGTATCGATACTGGAAATGGAAGAGGCGCGAGGGGAGAAGGCTTCCGAGAGGAAATTGTGTCGCCTACGATGGGGGGGGTGGGGACATATACAGAGAGATGGAAGGGGTGATGGGGGTATGTTTTAGGCTGGGGAAGAGCAGAGCGGAGTTGGTACCGAGAGGACCGAGAGGAAGAAAGATAAGAAGGGGCGAGGAAGAGTGTGGAGAAGAAGAGAGGAGAGAGGAGAGAGCGCTTTCGTCTTGTGCAATTCTATATTGAGCATGGATCTATCTATATATTACTTTTGCTGTCAATATTTTTATGTCGAACTAAATATTTATTATATCTTTATGAATATCTATATTTATATCCATGCTGTATTTACTGACTATTTCTGTATTTGTTTTATGTGTTTATGTGTTTATGTGTTACGGTTTATATATATATCATTTTCTCCTGTCTTGGTAGTTGTTTTTGTAGGTAGGTAGGTAGGTAGGTAGGTAGGTATCCTTTAAGAATCAAAATATCTGTTTCTTTGTCTGTTTTTTTTTTGTTTTTTTTTCTGTTTTTTTTGGGGGGGGGGGGTTTCAATCGTCAAAATCACTCAACAGGTTGTCCTAGGTACCTATCTAGGTATCGATTCTATGATTCTGATATTGATTTGAAGATTCTCTTCTAGAGTATGTTTGTTGATTTGCTTCTGGAGTTGTTTTGCTTCTAGAGTATGTTGATTTGCTTGTTATTTTCTGAGTGCTTGGTTGTATATGGTATAGAAAGTATAGATGGTATGTGTATGTGGTATGTGGTATGTGGTATGTGGTATGTGGTATGTGGTATGTGGTATGTGGTATGTGGTATGTGGTATGTGGTATGTGGTATGTGGTATGTGGTATGTGGTATGTGGTATGTGGTATGTGGTAGGTATACCTTTGGTGTAGATGGGTATGTGAGGTGGGAGGAGGGGTTTTTGAGAGAAAAAAAAAGGGGGGGAAGGGATTGGTTGTTGGATTTTGGGTGCTGGGTGCTGGTTGGATTTGGGGCTTGGGGCTTGGGACAGGAGGATGGTAGGGGATAGGAGGATGGTATGAGAGAGGATGATGGTATGAGGAGGGGATGAAGCGGATGAGGGAGAAGGGAGAGGATGAGGAGAGGGGGAGAGGGGGAGGGGGGGAGAAGGGAGAGAAAGAGATATAGATGATAGATAGATGATAGCTATATAGATTACTTTGTTTTATAGGTAAGAAGATAGATAGATAAATAGAAGATAAATCGATAAGATAGGGGTTTTGGTAGGGTGATCAGATTAGATCTTCTCTGGATTTTGAGGTTGGATTTGAGGTTGGATCTTGAGGTTGGAGATTAGGAGGATGGAGTTTAGGGGGATGAAGCTTAGGGGGGTGAGCTTAGGAGGGTGAGGTTGGAGAGAATAGAATAGAATAGTAGATGGGGATGGAAGAAAGAAGAGAAGATAGGAGAGAAGATATAGGAATAAATGTTGAGATCTTGAGATATTAAGATATTGAGATATTAAATCTTAATTTTGACTTTCTTATTTTACTTTACTTTGATTTGTATTATATACCTAGTGAATCTGAATCTTTTTTATATCCGTATATCCATCTATCATTTATTCATTCATATATTCATATTCCGCATTATATTATAAATAAGAAGATAAGAAAATAAGAAAGTTAGAAAATCTCTCTCTGTCACTATCTGGCTCTGAGTAAAAGCAGTAGTAATATAATTAGATATAATCAATATAACTACAACTATAAATATATCTATTCATTTCTTTCTCCAGCTTACAATACCTAAGTATTTATATCATTTCTCTAGAGAATAGATGGGTTCGATTTGATTGATTGGAAGGGATGGATTACACAGTATAAAAAGGATCATAAGGAGCAGAAGATGAGAAATGAGATGAGTTATGAGGAGATTATTGAGAATGAGCATCGAGGGGGGAGGGGGAAGGGGGAGTAAGAAATAGTAAAAGAGAAATAGAGAAAGGCGAAGCAATATTGTTACCCTGCTGAAAATTGACGCAACAATTTTGAAGGTTTCTTTTTTGGCTCCTTTCAAAAGATAGGGCATTGAAAGAAGATCCTGGATATAAATGAATAAATATTTGGAAAAGCGAAGATAAAAAGTTAAATGTACATTGTATAGAAAGGAAAAAGAAAATAATAGTTGGACTAGCACGAAAGGCGACACCAACACCAAATCCCTCCAAGCAAGTAACCAGCCGTCTGTCTACATTTATACGCCACCCAGTTTGATCCACCGCCCAAATCCAACGCCTAGAGCCAGCAGATGAACATGTCTTGTTTTCAAGAGTTACTACTCTCTTCTCATAAAACATTAACTCATCAAATCGTAACCCTTCGCCATCTCCCCAAGAAGCCAACTCCGACTTCCTAATAAGCATTTTCGTACGCCGGCTCGAAACTCCCATCCTCCTGCCACTCCACATCCTCGTAGCTAATCTCCTCACTCGGCACGCATATCGGACAGGGTACCGAATGTTCTTCCCCAAACCCTACATCCGAGATCCACATGCTTCCATTACAACTCGTGCACTGGGCCGCATACATCATATCCGCTCTTTCACCCGAATAGTACATTTTCTCTCTATCCCCGTCTCGTTTCTTTTGCTCCCTCGCTTCTATCCTCTCTTTCGCACATTCCTCATTGCAATTTACGCATTTATATCCATTCGTATCCACATAAACTCTCCGGAGACACTTTCTACATCTCCACCATCTCGGATCGATTTGACGTTCTTCGAGCCACGCTTGTTGAAGATCTTCTAGTTTCTTAGGATCTTTTGTATTCTTGGGTTGTTTAGCAGTCCCAATATCTTCTTTGTGAAAATCTTTGAGATGGTCTCGATAGTGGTCTTTTCGGGTAAAGGGACCTTTGGATCGGGTGCAGGGTTTGTAGTCGCAGGGAAAACTACCCTTCTGATCGGCATCGGCGTGAACATGTCTATAATGGCGTTCTAGGTCCGCAGGCCTTCGGAATTGCTTGCCTGGACAGTTGATTGGGAATTGACAAGGATAGACGCCTTTTTGAGGATCACTTTGCATGTATGAGTATTCGTTAGAATCTTCAAGTGTAGATCGACGTACCTAGGTGGATCAAGAAAAACCTGCTGAGGTGTATCTTGATGAATTGTGTACCCTGGAAGTAGTTCTAGATATGGCTCTTTTCCCTTTGGTACGATCAACTTGTAAAGTCTGAGGAGTTCTGTCTCGGGGGACCAGCCAAGACTAGATGGGGTTGGTTTGAGAGAATGACTTTGTTTTGATGAGCTCCTCTCCATACTATATGATGCTGTGGTATGATTGTTGTATCCCTGGTTATATCCATCGTCATAGTATTGTGGTAAGTGGGAGGGGTTTAAATCGAAAGACATGGATGGACTGCTAGGAGCCGGAGAGTGGAACTCCTTGGATGATCCAGATTGGGTACTGATTGAGCCTTGATCCGAATAATTTCGATTCATGAGAACCGGAGAGTAAAAGTCTCCAGAAGATCCGGATTGAGTGCTGGTCGAGCTTTGGTCAGAACGGATTCGATTCATTGGAAATCCTCCCATTGATGGTGCTGTAGTCGGATTAGGCCGAAGTCTACCTTGTTCAAGGTATTGCCTTGGCCTCCAGTTTTTATCAAACGAATTGGAATACATGATAGATAGCAGGCTTGTTCTGGAAATGGTTCTGTTTACCCTTTTCCATGATATTAGTCTAGACCTCACTTGAAAGGTATCATCTTCTGTTTAGAATGCAATTTGACCAGGTCATAAGAATAGAAGATCGACAGTATAAACAAAGTTCACTTACCAGCTATTGATATATTCAAGGAGAGTTGACGAAAGAAATATTGATATAAAAGAGGAATTATAGGAAGAAGGACAGTGATGCTGGTATATTGATATGAAGATCTCCACGTTTCTGGTTAATTCGTGACATGATATAGCTGCTTAATAGACGTAAGAATTTGCGAGGCTTCTCAATACCCAACACTTAACAGTCATTCCCTCACAGTCAGTCAAGTCCTGAACTACTCACATGCATCACCTAGCACCTGTGCAATTAGATGGAGGTTAATATCGACATAGCTTATTATTTACCAATGAGGTCTCATAGCCTTGTGATATCTATGGTGAAAGGTTGCCCCGGAAAACTTTAAATGGCTCCGGATGCTTCATCTATTGCATTCATATGCATAGAAAGGTAATAGAAAGCCCCTCTCACTTATTTAGCGGGATCTAACTTGATGAACTCACCGAGAGTCAAGGACTTGAGAGATTTTGAGTCGCCAATGAAATATGTCAGCAATTCTTGGGCCTGTGTAATGTCGAAATTGAAGCTAGGATTCCGGCTACCTTCTAGCCTTCTCTTCGAACGGCACAGCGGGCGAACGTTCGAAAAAAAGAAGCATCTGCTTTTGGGCAACTTAAGCCTCAATGAGGCGAACGATAATGATCCTAGGATTGTGGTCCGACTAGCCGAAAAGGCAACTGAAGGGGCATTGTGTCTGTCGGCGATCATTGATGCCCTATATGCGCAGCAAGGCACAGAATGATAGAATGCTCACAGGAATCGATCAAAATAGGGCATTTGGCTTAGTAGATTCGAAACCCTATGGTATCATAATTGCTGGTCGTTGATTGACCATATTGGCGGCGGGGCGCAGTAAAGACGAGTTTTGAGGTATCATGAAATCGTCGTAATAGAAGGAAATCTATTTTCACACCTGATCTGGGCAACTTGTTCCTATATCATTGCTTCAATGCTGACCGCCATTCTCAATAAGATGCATTTCGCAGAGCAGGGAATTCGTGTTTACTCTCCTATGGACCATTGCGATTTGGAACCTCCTTGGTAATGGGACCGTACCATTAGGCAGCAAGATGTGAAAAGAGCGGGAATAACCGTCCGCCTTCTTTTGCCTTCATTCGTTGTACAGTTTCATTTGCTTGTGCTAACGATAACTGGCAGACGCCGATGTAACGCTTGGCTGTGTCTTTCTCAACTGCCACATTCAGTGAACTCCTCATCGCATGTGAAGAAGAGGCTGCATCATGTCCTGAACGAAGAATTGTAAAAGGACGAGCACTTCCGTCAAGGATCTGAATCCATGTACAAGCCACATGCTTACGAAATGTGGCATGTCTGGATATAAGACAACAACTTGGACCTGCTTATCATTAGTATTTCTCCGTGAAAAAATCAAGATGTAGAGGTATACACCGAACAGAACTATCCGAAAAGAGATCCAAAAATACTGAGAGGGCTGTAGTCTCAATGTTTAATCAATACTGTGCCTGACACTTACGATTTGCCATTCAAAGTCGCATTTTTGAGGTTGCATACCATGAATTGTCGGCTGGCTCAGCGAACCCTCTTTGGGGTCCAAAACTTGTGCGCAGTTGGTTGTACTTGGGTAGAGACGAGGCAAAAAGGAATATGCAAGGAAATCATGATTTATTTTTTTTCAAAAAATTGAAATCTGGGGAGAGCTGACAACCTCTTATAATATCTGAGAATTGGGTATCAAACATTACAAGTGATGATGCCCAAAGTTGTCATACTCGTACATAATGTCTGCAGGCCATTTCATTGCGACCTATGAAGATAAACCAACCGTTTAGGACAAAGTTTTCGACCAGAAGACGAAAATCTGGATTAAAGTCTAGATTTCTCTAGTAATGGTTACTATTGCCATATACGAAGAAATGTCCAATCAACCCACACCTGGGCAGTTTATGATAAGCCCTGAATAAGGTCAGTTTTGATTCGCCAATTACGCTCAAGTACAGCTCTTAGTATGGAGACTGATTCGTCAAGACCAATGCAAGAGAACAATTGGTATCTTCTGATGCTATTAAACTCTCTCCCATTCTGTTTGTCTTGGGGAGTACATTTCATCAATTGGCATAAATTGTAGTTTCATCATGCATGTCTCTAGCCGTTCACAAAACACAGAAATACCTAAATGACCAGTGAGCCAGTATGGAAGGGTGAAGTTTGGCAGATATCACAACGAGCAAATATTTTATTTCTCTGAGGAATATTGCCAGGTAAGTTAAGAAACTTCATCCGAATCAAACCAGATGAGCAAGAGTATTCGCTATTAAGACAACTAAGGTCATTTCCCCAAGCCAGATGCTGGTTGAGCAATTCCCATTGCGCCAACCTATCCTCCAACCAAAAGATACCATAGGCGCCAGTGCATTATTCATACATCGTCCTCTAGGAATTTGTAGATGAACTTAAAGTCCGCTTTTCTTCGGTTCATCCTATAGACAGTTGGTTAGTTGATGTTGGGGAAAATAATGAATATGGTCAAACTTACCATGTGCTCTCATAATCAAAGAAACGATAAGTTCCTTGCTCATACAGCTCAGTAATTTCCTTTGGCTCTTCATGTCGTTGGAACCAAGTTTGATATTGTTTATGAAATCGCCAACTTTGTTCTTTTAGTGACCTAGCCGCAAGGTATTGTTGATATGTGGCTTGCTTGTAGTAGAAGACATAGAACAAAGTTTCTCCATCTATACGATTATATAGCCTAGGGTCATCTAGTACCGACGGGACGTCTTGGGGGTAATATGATGGCGTGTTGAAAGGGGTTTCTGGTTTGTAGCTGCGAGGAGGCGAAACGTCTGACATGCCAGGACCACTAGCCTGGGATGATGCCAACATTCTTTGCGATGCTGTGGATAAAACATCTGGGGCACTCTTTTGAATTACCTCAAAAGATTGAAGCATATCCTGGAACCCTGAAGGAAGATGATATACAGATTCTGTATTCTCTGGTGTGCTTGACTTAAGCCCATTCGAGACACCATTCGATTGTGGTGGAACAGCTTGCATAGAACTGTTAGCATTGGAATCGCATGGGATAGCAATAGACAAACCTTTCTTGCCTTCTGCTGTCTTGGATAAGGCCGGTTGCTTCCCTGACGAATTTGAGGAAAGATTTGGTCTCGTATTCTCTGTTTTTTCAACAGGATGGGACACACTTGCTCCACTAGGTGCAGCACTTGATTGACTCAAAGCTGGAGATTTAGTCTGGGCACTTGATGGCGTATCTGTAGTTGGAACACTAGATCGTGTCACAGGTGTCTGATTGACACTTGCGGTTTGTGAATGTATAGTAGTTGGAGATGCCGTAACACTCGGTCTCCGTCCAGCACCTCCAGATAAAGATGGGTGACTGACTGACGTTGCGGGGGTCGGTAAAGTTTCAGGTGGAGGGGGTAAAGGAGCAAGGCCGTTCTTATCACTAGCAGCAGCCGCCGCCGCCGCCGAAGCATATTTCAATGTCTCTCCAGGGGCACGTGTAGGTACTGCAGCTGGTTTCATAAGGTTACTTGAACTTCCATTTGTTGACAAAGTCGATAGAGGGGTATGTAAAGTGGCCAAGGAAGGGAGAGGGCTTTTCAGTTGAGTAGAAGGTCTTCGTGCAGCAGCTAGAGGCGGTTCTGAACCTGATTTCGATTTCCCGGGTAAACTATTGGATCGTAGATCTGTATCTGGTACATCCTCCTGTATCGATTGTGTGTCTTGTGATGAGACCCGATCATTATCATTATTCATGCCGTAATTATCTTCTTCCTCATCAAGGTTGAGCTCATCATACATTTCCTCGTCCTCCATGAAGTCATCGTTCATATTGTCGGTCACATAATATTTTATGGACTCCTCAAGATCTTTGACTTGCTCAACCTCGACAGTACCATTTTCCAGACAGCGTTTGATAAGCTCCAACTTATTTTGATGAAATTTGTGCCGTTCCGTTGAGTTGTCCAGCTCTGCTATTCTATCGGCCTTGGCACTTTGAGTTTTCCCCTTCTTCATCGTTGCTGATATCGATTCCCGTTCGGCTTCCATTGTCTCGATCTGGCGCTCTAGCTCCTCTACCATGTTGCCTAAGAATTCCCCGGTCTCCATTTTCGCGCGCTCCTTTGGATCCAGCTTCGCTGCCGCCGAAAGCCCTTCTTTCGAATATGCTTTCGTCTTCATAGCTTTTTCTACTGCCTTGAACTTCTCCATTTGCTACAACAGTTTAGCTCACTCCAAGTCAAGTAAAATATATGCCCTACCGTTTCAATCAATTTCCGGTGATCTAACAGAGGACCCTTATCCTTTATGTCATTACTTGCAGCCCATGTCTTGATTTGATCACGAAGCCTCTGCAACTTTTTGATCTCACGTTTGAGGTTGTCCTCCAACTTCTCCTTCTGCGCAGCATTTGTGCATTGTTCTATCTTGTCGTAGATTGATTCGAATTCTGCCACGCCTTCAGTGACTTTCTTGAAGCACTTGTCGACTTCTTGCTGAAGTTTTCGTGCCGCCATCGTGTAATTGTGAGGGGTACGGAGAAATGTATCGATGGGTTGGTGTTTGGTGATTGCTGTTGTGTACAAGGGGCTAGCTTTGTTTGACAAATATCAGACCCCATGCGTGGTATAAATGTCTAGCTTGAGCCTTTGCGTGAAAAGGTGGTAGTACAAGGAATCTACAGATTACCTTGCTACCAAGTAAAGGCGTGGTCTTTGTGTGAATGTGTAGTGGTGAAAGGTTGAGAAGTTGTTGCTGAATTTTGAATTGGATTTCACGTTGCGACCATATTGGCTTGGGTGAGATTGCGGGAAGAGAGCCTCGCTTGCACCTTACCTTCATCACCTGCAGCCTTAGAAGAACGTGGGGGAAAGCTCATGGGCAAGGTTCACAGAAAGAATGCCATGGCTGAGTATGGAATGAATATATGTATGTCACTGTCTGGAGATGGATTTTGATTTCTGAATTGATATTTTGATTTACAACTAAATTATCTTTCGATTCTTTTGATCATTGAAAATTTATATCTTTTATGGTTGTGATTAATTGTCATTTATCATGGATGAAATAAATGCTCAAGTGGGGATTGCATCATATGGTCCCGAAGTAGGTCATCATATAGAGAGAGTCTCGTTCCTCCCTATCGACATTGTTGACTTGAATTCAGACTATCAGGAATCCTCAACGTCCCACTTCATTGTATAAATCATTCCTAGAGAGGAATCGATCTTGATTCTAGTCAGAAGATCAGTGAGACCGATTCAATCCTGGTCATTTGTCTACCCACCTAGTAAACATGAAGGGTATCATTTCCACCTCTACCCCTCGTTCCTTTTTTGCTCTCCAAGCTTTAAACTTACTAGGTTCTGCTTAGCTATACTTCAACGTGTTCTGTCTGCTTCTGTAAAGGTAGACAAGCAGCTGGTATCATCAATTGGCAAAGGCATATTAGTATTTGCCGCTGTGGCTCCTGGTGATACAGAGAAAGATGCAGAATCGTTAGCAGCAAAAGTCCTGAAAATGCGATTATGGGATGACGAAAATGGCGGTCGGGTAAGAACAAGGAGTCTCTTACTTCTCTTGATCTCAGAAGTGGTTTTCTGTCATTTCATACCAGGCATTGATTGAGTCATTCAGTTGCTGTTTTGTTGTTCTTGCTTGATTACAGTCCTAATACATTTCATAGTGGAAACACAATGTACAAGACATCCAAGGAGAAGTTCTCTGTGGTATGTGAAGATAATTGAGTACTACCCTTAGACATGGGAGTCCCACAAACTGACAATTCCTTCATATATCAGTCTCACAATTCACATTACTTGCCTCAACGAAGAAGGGTTCAAAGCCAGACTTTCATGGAGCCATGGGAGGGGACCAGGCTAGGGAATTATATCAACTTTTTGTGACAAAGGTCCAGCAAGGTTATACGTCAGAAAGGGTCAAAGATGGTGTGTTCCAAGCAATGATGGTAGGTCACACCACAATTCAGACTGCTCGGGTCATTTTGCTAACGAATGTTTGATTGTAGGAAGTGGCTTTGGTGAATGACGGTCCGGTACGTCCTCCTTGTCATTGGTCAAGCGCAAGCATGTATGTTCTGGTACTAATGCTGTTAGGTAACACTCGAGATGTCAACCAGGTCAAATGAGAAGGCATGAAAGGTTTGGCGTATCGCAGACCATTCAAAGTTCATGGCTGAACGAATCTGTGAATGTGTAGAGGCCCTAAGCGCATGGCCAGAGAAATGGCTAGCGGTTACCATCTCCACATGATGTCTCAAGACATTCCCTTTGTTAATCTTGAAATTACAGCCTCTCTAGATAA